TCACTTCTCTCTCTCTCTCTCTCTCTTCTCTACCTCTCTCTACCTCCATTCCTCCATGCAACGCACACACCACACCCACACATACAAAACAGGTCAAGTATCTATCGATAGTTGCCTTTCACAACTAGTATCTAACACACACACACACACACACACACACACACACACACACACACACACACACACACACACACACACACACACACACACACACACACACACACATACACAGGAAAGGCACTGCAATGGATAAGAGAATACCTTACAGGGAGGCAACAACGAGTCATGGTACGTGACGAGGTGTCAAAGTGGGCGCCTGTGACAAGCGGGGTTCCACAGGGGTCAGTCCTTGGACCTGTGCTGTTCTTGGTATATGTGAATGACATAACGGAAGGGATAGACTCAGAAGTGTCCTTGTTTGCGGACGATGTGAAGTTAATGAGAAGAATCAAATCGGATGAGGATCAGGCAAGACTACAAAGAGACCTGGACAGGCTACAAGCCTGGTCCAGCAACTGGCTCCTTGAGTTTAACCCCGCCAAATGCAAAGTCAATGAAGATTGGGGAAGGGCAAAGAAGACCGCAGACACAATATAGTTTAGATGGCCAAAGTCTGCAAACCTCACTCAAGGAAAAAGATCTGGGGGTGAGTATAACACCGAGCATATCTCCTGAGGCGCACATCAATCAGATAACTGCTGCAGCATACGGGCGCCTGGCAAACCTACGGATAGCGTTCCGATACCTCAGTAAGGAGTCGTTCAAGACTCTGTATACCATTTACGTCAGGCCCATACTGGAGTATGCAGCACCAGTTTGGAATCCACACCTAGTCGAGCACGTCAAGAAGTTAGAGAAAGTACAAAGGTTTGCAACAAGACTAGTCCCAGAGCTACGGGGATTGTCCTACGAAGAAAGGTTGAGGGAAATTGGCCTGACGACACTGGAGGCCAGGAGGGTCAGGGGAGACATGATAACGACATACAAAATACTGCGCGGAATAGACAAGGTGGACAAAGACAGGATGTTCCAGAGATGGGACACAGACACAAGAGGTCACAATTGGAAGTTGAAGACTCAGATGAATCAAAGGGATGTTAGGAAGTATTTCTTCAGTCATAGAGTAGTCAAGCCGTGGAATAGCCTAGAAAGTGAAGTAGGAGGCGGGAACTATACATAGTTTTAAGGCGAGGTATGATGAAGCTCATGGAGCAGGGAGAGAGAGGACCTAGTAGCAATCAGCGAAGAGGCGGGGCCAGGAGCTATGACTCGACCCCTGCAACCACAAATAGGTGAGTACAAATAGGTGAGTACACACATAAACTACATCCAGACAGGTCTCTGTTATGAGTAAAGGACCTATGAAGACAAACTGCAAGAACTGAACCAGTCACTGTAAGAAAGAAGAACAAGGGAAGCTGTGATCACAACATAGAAAATACGTATGGGTACAGACACTGTAGACAAGACTACGATATTCACTGGTGTTGAAATAAGAACAGGAAACCACAGATTGAAATCTCTTTCCAGCGAGACTCAGAGACTAATGAAAATATTTCTTCAACATAAGAGATTTAAATTCTATGGTTCAGGTAAATCAAACCACGGAACGGGTGGGGGTTAGAACTCGTGGCGAGTGAGTCGTAAAACATCAGGCCATTGCTTAAGCCACTGGACCAAGCCACTGGGCCGGCTGCTACAATAAGATTCATCCAACTAGGTATAGTTATACACCTTAGGAAGGTTAGCATGGGCCACCATTGTAACCACAAATGGTCACAGTGGTGGCCCATACTAACCTCCTTCTGGTGTATAAAAATACTTATGATGAATCTTATTGTAGTCAGCTGGCCCAGTGGTTAACGCACTATCTTGAAGTTTTACAACTCACTCGCCGCGGGTTCTAACTCCACCCATACAGTGGTTTGTCTGAAATAGTGTTATTACGATTTCGAGAATCAGTTCAACTAAACGTTGTGGAATCGTCATTTTTTTAAGCATAATGCACAAAATGTTTCAAATTTGAGTTCTGGCATCTATAAACTTGACATTTTTTAATAACAAAAAACAAAACAGCTGAAGTGGACTTCACCCATAGGTTTAAATTTATATATGTGAAAAAAATTAAACTTCTATAGTGGAAACCTAAACACTAATATGAAATATTTAGAGATATAAAAAATAAAATGTCACATTTCACAGTCGTGGAGGGAGGAGAGGGCGAAACGTCGTCATAAGGTTACTCTGATGAGTGCGTCTTGTAGAGAGAAGAGAGCGAAACGTCGTCATAAGGTTCCTCTGATGAGTGCGTCTTGTAGAGAGAAGAGAGCGAAACATCGTCATTTAAAGGTTCCTCTGATGAGTGCGTCTTGTAGAGAGAAGAGAGCGAAACGTCGTCATAAGGTTCCTCTGATGAGTGCGTCTTGTAGAGAGAAGAGAGCGAAACATCGTCATAATGTTCCTCTGATGAGTGCGTCTTGTAGAGAAAAGAGAGCGAAACATCGTCATAAGGTTCCTCTGATGAGTGCGTCTTGTAGAGAGAAGAGAGCGAAACGTCGTCATAAGGTTCCTCTGATGAGTGCGTCTTGTAGAGAGAGAGCGAAACGTCGTCATAAGGTTCCTCTGATGAGTGCGTCTTGTAGAGAGAAGAGAGCGAAACATCGTCATAAGGTTCCTCTGATGAGTGCGTCTTGTAGAGAAAAGAGAGCGAAACATCGTCATAAGGTTCCTCTGATGAGTGCGTCTTGTAGAGAGAAGAGAGCGAAACGTCGTCATAAGGTTCCTCTGATGAGTGCGTCTTGTAGAGAGAAAAGAGCGAAACGTCGTCATAAGGTTCCTCTGATGAGTGCGTCTTGTAGAGAGAAGAGAGCGAAACATCGTCATAAGGTTCCTCTGATGAGTGCATCTTGTAGAGAGAAGAGAGCGAAACGTCGTCATAAGGTTCCTCTGATGAGTGCGTCTTGTAGAGAGAAGAGAGCGAAACGTCGTCATAAGGTTCCTCTGATGAGTGCGTCTTGTAGAGAAAAGAGTGCGAAACATCGTCATAAGGTTCCTCTGATGAGTGCATCTTGTAGAGAGAAGAGAGCGAAACGTCGTCATAAGGTTCCTCTGATGAGTGCGTCTTGTAGAGGGAAGAGAGCGAAACATCGTCAAAAAGGTTCCTCTGATGAGTGCGTCTTGTAGAGAGAAGAGAGCGAAACATCGTCATAAGGTTCCTCTGATGAGTGCGTCTTGTAGAGAGAAGAGAGCGAAACATCGTCATAAGGTTCCTCTGATGAGTGCGTCTTGTAGAGAGAAGAGAGCGAAACATCGTCCCTAAGGTTCCTCTGATGAGTGCGTCTTGTAGAGAGAAGAGAGCGAAACATCGTCATAAGGTTCCTCTGATGAGTGCGTCTTGTAGAGAGAAGAGAGCGAAACGTCGTCATAAGGTTCCTCTGATGACTGCGTCTTGTAGAGAGAAGAGAGCGAAATAAACGTCATAAGGTTCCTCTGATGAGTGCGTCTTGTAGAGAGAAGAGAGCGAAACATCGTCATAAGGTTCCTCTGATGAGTGCGTCTTGTAGAGAGAAGAGAGCGAAACATCGTCATAAGGTTCCTCTGATGAGTGCGTCTTGTAGAGAGAAGAGAGCGAAACGTCGTCATAAGGTTCCTCTGATGACTGCGTCTTGTAGAGAGAAGAGAGCGAAATATCGTCATAAGGTTCCTCTGATGAGTGCATCTTGTAGAGAGAAGAGAGCGAAACATCGTCATAAGGTTCCTCTGATGAGTGCGTCTTCTAGAGAGGAAGACAAACTAGACAGGGGATTAGTGTTATTCCTGTGTCGATTAAAACCAGTCACTCCTATCATGTTTCTCACCAGTAAACACTGACGTTAAACACGAACCAATGTTCTCTCACATTTCTCATTAACCAATACATAAATAGAACACCCAACGATTGTTCCGTTATTATTATTATTATTATTATTATTATTATTATTATTATTATTATTATTATTATTATTATTATTATTATTATTATTAATTAATATTATTATTTTTAAAAGTAATATTTTAATTATTATTTTTATTAATTATTATTATTATTATTATTATTATTAATTACTATTATTATTATTATATTATTATTATTATTATTATTACTATTATTAAAATCAAAATCGTTATTGGAAGCGCTAATCCCGTAAGGATCTTACAGCTCCTGGGAAATGGGAGGGGTTGGAGGGGTGTTAAACAAGTTTGATCCGAGAAAAACAAAGAGGAGAGAAACTCCAATTCCCTGGATCAAGAGCCCTTCACTAGCAACAAGACACCCATGTATGAGGGTTTAAGACTGGCTCTATCTCACTTAAGACTTACATATTTGTCTTAGACGTATGACCTTATGGAACTCGGGATGCTGCGTAGTTCACTGGTCCACTGGTCCACTCGTCCACTAGTTTACTGGTTTACTGGTCCACTGGTCCACTGGTCCACTGGTAAACTAGTTTACTGGTCTACTGGTCCATTACTTTACTGGTTAACTGGTCCACTAGTCCACTGGTTCACTGGTCCTCTGGTTTATTGGTAAACTAATCCGCTGGTACATAAGTCCACTGGTTCACAGGTCCACTTGTCTGCCGGATATTTCAATAAAGGTTTATACTGAGCAAAACATCGTCTGTGACATAGGTTTGACTTTTGGGTTATAAACCCAGGAAGCTGTGCGGTCCATTGGTTCACTGGTTCACTAATCGACTAATCATCTGGTTTACTGGACCACTGACCGACTAGTCCGCTGGTTCTCTAGTTCACTGGTCCACTGATCCACCGGTTCACTGATTCAGGGTCATGCTTTACCCAATATCTTAAACAGGTTTAAATATCAATATCCTAGGCAATGTTTCACACCTTATCCTAGGCAATGTTTCACACCTTATCCTAGGCAATGTTTCATACCATATCCTACGCAGTTTCTGTTGTTACTTGGCCCTCCTGACCACCAGTTTTGTGCCCTGCAGGTCCGCCCTTCGTTCGTGCCATGGGTAACGTGACGGTGGTGTCTGGGGAGGATGTTGGGGTATGGTGTCCTGCAGGAGGATACCCTACCCCCACCATTACCTGGCGTAGGGAGGGCCATACCCTCCCCACCTCCCTCAGGTGAGTCTCTCTCTCTCTCTCTCTTTCTCTCTCTCTCTTTTTTACACAGGGTTTGACAAGGTTACGTTAAGGATCCCTAGCTTTATTGACAAGATATTTACAGGTTAAGGATTCCTAACTTTATTGGCAAGCTAAGAGCTGTTACCTACATCAGCTCTCTCTCTCTCTCTCTCTCTCTCTTCCTCTTCTTCTCTCTCTCTCTCTCTCTCTTCTCTCTCTCTTCTCTCCCTCTCTCTCTCTCTCTCTCCTCTCTCTCTCTCTCTCTCTCTCTCTCTCTCTCTCTTTTCTCCTCTCTCTCTCTCTCTCTCTCTCTCTCTCTCTCTCTCTCTCTCTCTCTCTCTCTCTCTCCTCTCCTCCTTCCCTCCTGGCGGAGGGAAGGAGGAGTGTTGAAGGTTTAATTCTTGTGTTGCAGACAGGAGATAGCCACCAACGGGACACTGGTAATAAGGAACGCTGGCAACGAGGACGCTGGTCGCTACACCTGTGTCGTCTCCGGCAGACAGGGGCAGACATCGTCCTCACACACCTTCCTCCATGTGCTCAGTACGTATAAAACTAGACATGCATAACGTTATAGGCTCCAGTACACAAATAACCCACACATAGGAGAATATGTTTCATACTCCTATGTGCTAATTACTTGTGTTTTGTTACAGTTACGGTATTGTGCCATTTTACTCTGTCTAGGCTCTAACCTATGAATTTCGACAAGGAAGCAGAGAGCGTCTGGACCAGGAGACATATCTAGAAACACTACTATACCTCTTACCTCTGTATTTAACTGAAGATGTCTACGGTGCAGGGGAAACATTCCAACAATAAAGATACCCAACTGTTTCCCATGTGTCTTTCTCATCAACTCTCTGCTTCCTTGTCCAAGTTCAAAGGCTAGAATCTAGAGCGTTACACAGTCATTAATAATAAGCATTCTATTTTTTTTAATGATATAAACACATTTAATATAATAAGAGGTGTGTATTTCATAGTATATACACTGAGATTAAACGTTAATCTTAACTCTAATGATAAAACTATATTTGCCTGGTTAATCTGTTACATGGTTGTAACAGAAATATTTTTATTATTATTTTTTTTATTATCACACCGGCCGATTCCCACCAAGGCAGGGTGGCCCGAAAAAGAAAAACTTTCACCATCATTCACTCCATCACTGTCTTGCCAGAAGGGTGCTTTACACTACAGTTTTTAAACTGCAACATTAACGATATTATTTCATCGTAATTAGTTTTCTGTATCTAATTAGCACAAGAGCCACTAAACTCGTTAAACATTCCTTACAGAGCCTCCCAAAATCGAGCCGTTTTCGTTCCGGAGTGACTTGCAGGAAGGAGAGAGGACGCAGCTTACTTGCATGATCAACTCTGGTGACCTTCCTATCACTATCAACTGGCTCAAGGATGGTCGCCACCTGCAGCATGACCCGGGCATTGATATCAAGCAGATGAGCGAGTACTCTAGGGTGGGTCTGTGAGGCTGTGTTGAGGTGCTGTGGGTGGGTGGTGATTCTTGCAATGTTTGTGTGTGTTTCTAAAGCCATGAAAAACCCATGGGGTGGGTGTTGGTGGGTGAGGAGTCATGCAGTGTTTGTGATATGTTCCTGCATGTGTTTATACAGCCATAAACACCACGAATAGGTCGATAATTTCATAAACATTATAACCACGTCTGTTCATCTTCCAATAGTTAAACAATAAGGATACTCTTGTGTCTTAATTCGCCTGAGGCTTTTGTTTGATACTCAATCTTTGTGCTTTTAATTTCTTAACAACAGTATCATCCTCATCCATACAGACTTAATACCTCAAGTTTATATTTTACAGGAAGACTTGGGATTATCTGTCGAAATGTATAATTATTGTATCTATAACTTAATAGTCTAATATATTTCAATCGTTAAAATTGGATTATTCTCAAGATTCTCTTTGGAAATATAAAAGTTTATTTTTTAGTATCCGGTAAAACAGAACGACCTTCGTTTGTGGTTGCTGCTTCATGGTCCAGCACTGCTGACACGAGTCACTGCTTGTGGTCCAGCACTGCTGATACGAGTCACTGCTTGTGGTCCAGCACTGCTGACACGAGTCACTGCTTGTGGACCAGCACTGCTGACACGAGTCACTGCTTGTGGTCCAGCACTGCTGACACGAGTCACTGCTTGTGGTCCAGCACTGCTGACACGAGTCACTGCTTGTGGTCCAGCACTGCTGACACGAGTCACTGCTTGTGGTCCAGCACTGCTGACACGAGTCACTGCTTGTGGTCCAGCACTGCTGACACGAGTCACTGCTTGTGGTCCAGCACTGCTGACACGAGTCACTGCTTGTGGTCCAGCACTGCTGACACGAGTCACTGCTTGTGGACCAGTACTGCTGACACGAGTCACTGCTTGTGGACCAGTACTGCTGACACGAGTCACTGCTTGTGGACCAGTACTGCTGACACGAGTCACTGCTTGTGGTCCAGCACTGCTGACACGAGTCACTGCTTGTGGTCCAGCACTGCTGACACGAGTCACTGCTTGTGGACCAGTACTGCTGACACGAGTCACTGCTTGTGGACCAGTACTGCTGACACGAGTCACTGCTTGTGGTCCAGCACTGCTGACACGAGTCACTGCTTGTGGTCCAGCACTGCTGACACGAGTCACTGCTTGTGGTCCAGCACTGCTGACACGAGTCACTGCTTGTGGTCCAGCACTGCTGACACGAGTCACTGCTTGTGGTCCAGCACTGCTGACACGAGTCACTGCTTGTGGTCCAGCACTGCTGACACGAGTCACTGCTTGTGGTCCAGCACTGCTGACACGAGTCACTGCTTGTGGTCCAGCACTGCTGACACGAGTCACTGCTTGTGGTCCAGCACTGCTGACACGAGTCACTGCTTGTGGTCCAGCACTGCTGACACGAGTCACTGCTTGTGGTCCAGCACTGCTGACACGAGTCACTGCTTGTGGTCCAGCACTGCTGACACGAGTCACTGCTTGTGGTCCAGCACTGCTGACACGAGTCACTGCTTGTGGACCAGCACTGCTGAGACGAGTCACTGCTTGTGGTCCAGCACTGCTGAGACGAGTCACTGCTTGTGGTCCAGCACTGCTGAGACGAGTCACTGCTTGTGGTCCAGCACTGCTGACACGAGTCACTGCTTGTGGTCCAGCACTGCTGAGACGAGTCACTGCTTGTGGTCCAGCACTGCTGACACGAGTCACTGCTTGTGGTCCAGCACTGCTGACACGAGTCACTGCTTGTGGTCCAGCACTGCTGACACGAGTCACTGCTTGTGGTCCAGCACTGCTGAGACGAGTCACTGCTTGTGGTCCAGCACTGCTGACACGAGTCACTGCTTGTGGTCCAGCACTGCTGACACGAGTCACTGCTTGTGGTCCAGCACTGCTGACACGAGTCACTGCTTGTGGTCCAGCACTGCTGACACGAGTCACTGCTTGTGGTCCAGCACTGCTGAGACGAGTCACTGCTTGTGGTCCAGCACTGCTGAGACGAGTCACTGCTTGTGGTCCAGCACTGCTGACACGAGTCACTGCTTGTGGTCCAGCACTGCTGACACGAGTCACTGCTTGTGGTCCAGCACTGCTGAGACGAGTCACTGCTTGTGGTCCAGCACTGCTGACACGAGTCACTGCTTGTGGTCCAGCACTGCTGACACGAGTCACTGCTTGTGGTCCAGCACTGCTGACACGAGTCACTGCATGTGGTCCAGCACTGCTGACACGAGTCACTGCTTGTGGTCCAGCACTGCTGACACGAGTCACTGCTTGTGGTCCAGCACTGCTGACACGAGTCACTGCTTGTGGTCCAGCACTGCTGACACGAGTCACTGCTTGTGGTTCAGCACTGCTGACACGAGTCACTGCTTGTGGTCCAGCACTGCTGACACGAGTCACTGCTTGTGGTCCAGCACTGCTGACACGAGTCACTGCTTGTGGTCCAGCACTGCTGACACGAGTCACTGCTTGTGGTCCAGCACTGCTGACACGAGTCACTGCTTGTGGACCAGCACTGCTGAGACGAGTCACTGCTTGTGTCCAGCACTGCTGAGACGAGTCACTGCTTGTGGTCCAGCACTGCTGACACGAGTCACTGCTTGTGGTCCAGCACTGCTGACACGAGTCACTGCTTGTGGTCCAGCACTGCTGACATGAGTCACTGCTTGTGGTCCAGCACTGCTGACACGAGTCACTGCTTGTGGTCCAGCACTGCTGACATGAGTCACTGCTTGTGGACCAGCACTGCTGACACGAGTCACTGCTTGTGGACCAGCACTGCTGACACGAGTCACTGCTTGTGGTCCAGCACTGCTGACATGAGTCACTGCTTGTGGTCCAGCACTGCTGACACGAGTCACTGCTTGTGGTCCAGCACTGCTGACACGAGTCACTGCTTGTGGCCCAGCACTGCTGACACGAGTCATTGCTTGTGGACCAGCACTGCTGACACGAGTCACTGCTTGTGGACCAGCACTGCTGACACGAGTCACTGCTTGTGGTCCAGCACTGCTGACACGAGTCACTGCTTGTGGACCAGTACTGCTGACACGAGTCACTGCTTGTGGTCCAGCACTGCTGACACGAGTCACTGCTTGTGGCCCAGCACTGCTGACACGAGTCATTGCTTGTGGACCAGCACTGCTGACACGAGTCACTGCTTGTGGTCCAGCACTGCTGACACGAGTCACTGTTTCCTCAGGTGTTGCTGTTCAAGAAGCTACGAGAGCATCACTCGGGGTCGTACACCTGCGAGGCTGCCAATGCTGCTGCTACATCCAACTACACTGCTGCCGTCAGAGTTAAGGTACACGAGAGAAGGTTAATATCAGAGTTAAGGTGCACGAGGGAAGGTTAATATCAGAGTTAAGATGCACGAGGGAAGGTTAATATCAGAGTTAAGGTGCACGAGGGAAGGTTAATATCAGAGTTAAGGTACACGAGGGAAGGTTAATATCAGAGTTAAGGTACACGAGGGAAGGTTAATATCAGAGTTAAGGTACACGAGGGAAGGTTAATATCAGAGTTAAGGTGCACGAGGGAAGGTTAATATCAGAGTTAAGGTACACGAGGGAAGGTTTAATATCAGAGTTAAGGTACACGAGGGAAGGTTAATATCAGAGTTAAGGTACACGAGGGAAGGTTAATATCAGAGTTAAGGTACACGAGGGAAGGTTAATATCAGAGTTAAGGTACACGAGGGAAGGTTAATATCAGAGTTAAGGTGCACGAGGGAAGGTTAATATCAGAGTTAAGGTACACGAGGGAAGGTTAATATCAGAGTTAAGGTACACGAGGAAGGTTAATATCAGAGTTAAGGTACACGAGGGAAGGTTAATATCAGAGTTAAGGTACACGAGGGAAGGTTAATATCAGAGTTAAGGTACACGAGGGAAGGTTAATATCAGATTTAAAGGGTGCACGAGGGAAGGTTAATATCAGAGTTAAGGTACACGAGGGAAGGTTAATATCAGAGTTAAGGTACACGAGGGAAGGTTAATATCAGAGTTAAGGTGCACGAGGGAAGGTTAATATCAGAGTTAAGGTACACGAGGGAAGGTTAATATCAGAGTTAAGGTACACGAGGGAAGGTTAATATCAGAGTTAAGGTACACGAGGGAAGGTTAATATCAGAGTTACGGTACACGAGGGAAGGTTAATATCAAAGTTAAGGTACACGAGGGAAGGTTAATATCAGAGTTAAGGTACACGAGGGAAGGTTAATATCAAAGTTAAGGTGCACGAGGGAAGGTTAATATCAAAGTTAAGGTAGGTTACAACGCAGATTAGGGTCAGAGTTAAGGCAGGCCACGGGGCAGGTCAGAGTAGGTTATGTAGATTAGGCTCAGAAATGTCACATAATTCAAGATCAGTGACGACACACTAATGCACTGTTCGAAACATTAAGGAAATGTTTCGCCACGAGCGACTTGTTCAGTGCTGGCAACCTAGTCATTACATTCCCACAACAGAAAGATTCATTCGTCTTTAAGTTTTGGGAAAAGGTAAACGTTAGGGAGAATGTTTCTACCCGTGGACACACGTGTACAGGTGTATGTCTCACCCCGCAGGTGGCACCCAGGTGGGTGGTGGAACCTGGGAGTGCCACGGCTCTGGTGGGTTCAACAGTGGTTCTGGATTGCAGCGCTCGTGGCTACCCCAATCCAGAGTTGACGTGGATGAAGGCTCCTGGTAAGTACCCTTTTGCAATGTCAAGAGTTAATTATATGTAATTGGCTCAAGGAACGGAAAAGTTGATAAATTAGACACGTGTGCACCACTTGGGTATCTTTTCTGAGGAAACGTTTCGCCACACAGTGGCTTCATCAGTGATATACAAAGGAGAATGGTGAAGATAAGCAGGAGTTTGAGGTAATCAGTCCCTCAATCTTTCCAATATTAATTGACTGATTATGTGGACTCAACGTTTACTGTCTTCACATATTATTTTTGTATAGAACTGAGAAAGCAACTGGTTGGCGAGGCGTTTTCAACTGAAGATTTCCAGGTGTTGTTCATGTCTTTAATTCCCCATTTTGTCGGTACTGTGAATCAGTATCGCCAAGATACACATCTGAGAAAACCCGCTGAGCAAGCGAAATATCGTTTTAATAAATTTCCAAGGAAATTGGATCAACTTCCTGATATTTCCTGTGTGAAGGTAGAGGAGAACAACGTTCTCCTCTACTGTAATCACATACTCGTTTTGTACGTGAGCTGTAGTTGCATGTTTCTATCCTTGTGTATCATCCATTACGACTGGAGGATCTCTTGTCCCTTCCAGCCACTCCTGTTTCCCGTCTTCTTAGATGTCACGAAGCCATAAATAGAAAATTATAACGAATACACAGTCTCACTTTGCCTCCATACAGTCAAATGTCATACGAATAAAAGATTGTCACAATACCATCGCTAGAATAATTCCCAGACCTTTACTTAAGCTATAGGCGCAATGTTTCGGTCTTATCAAGCCCAGGATGGACAGAAATGTGTTTTAAAGATAGTTCTCTAACATGGAGGTACTGAGATGTGATGTACCTCCAGGGGACTCAGCGCAGGACTTCCTGGCGGTAGTTCTGGACGGAGTGAGGGCATCGCAAGCACCTAATGGATCACTTGTTCTGCCTGACGTAGCTACCACCAGCGCTGGCTGGTTCCTCTGTCGCGCCGATAACACTGTCGGCAAGTCTATCTCCAAGGTGGTCAAACTCACCGTCCACGGTGAGTGCTGAGTGTAGACACCCCAGCTACCTAACACACGACTACTACTATCACTATTACTACTACTGCTACTATCACCACTACTACTACTATCACCATATTGCTACTATCACCATTACTACTAACACAACTGCTACAACTACAACTACTGACACTACTACTACTACTACTACTACCACCACTACTAACACTACTTAAACTGCTCACATCTAGTAATATTTAAGTTCATATATTTTGTCTACTCTCCTCTCTCAACAATGTACTAAATAAACCGTGTTTGAAAGCTAGTCAGATTCTTCGGTCTTCATTCTTAGAGGCTGCAAGATGAACCTAATTTTCAGTTTCTTAACAATGACAGCCCCGGCGCGGGTGGTGACGGAAGGAGGGCGGGTGACGGGGCATGCTGGACAGACAGTGACGGTGACCTGTGAAGCTACAGGTGATGACCCACTCTCCCTCACCTGGCTCCGTCACCACGCTGTCGTTGCGCCAGGTCACAGGTAGGGGTCCTTGATACCCAGGTCACTGGCAGAGGTCCTTGATCCCCAGGTCACAGGTTCTCTCCTTGATACCCTGTATATCATTACCTCCAGGTCACAAGTGCTGTCTTTGATCCCCTCTGTTTTACCTCCTAGGTCTCCGGGTCGCCTCTATTTCATCTCCTAAGTTTCCAGGTCACAGGTATTGTCCTTGATCCCTTCTACATCACCTCCCAGGTCACAGGTACTGTCTTTGATCCCCTCTACATCACCTCCCAGGTCACGGGTACTGTCCTTGATCCCCTCTACATCACCTCCCAAGTCACAGGTGCTGTCCTTGATCCCCTCTACGTCACCTCCCAGGTCACAGGTACTGTCCTTGATCCCCTCTACATCACCTCCCAGGTCACAGGTACTGTCCTTGATCCCCTCTACATCACCTCCCAGGTCACAGGTACTGTCCTTGATCCCTTCTACATCACCTCCCAAGTCACAGGTGCTGTCCTTGATCCCCTCTACATCACCTCCCAGGTCACGGGTACTGTCCTTGATCCCCTCTACATCACCTCCCAAGTCACAGGTGCTGTCCTTGATCCCCTCTACATCACCTCCCAGGTCACAGGTACTGTCCTTGAACCCCTCTACATCACCTCCCAGGTCACAGGTACTGTCCTTGATCCCCTCTACATCACTTCCCAGGTCTCCAGGTTACAGGTCATCGATACCCTTTCTATCCTGCCAAATATCATTGATTCCTGGTGTTATTTTGATGACTGTTGTTGCTGCTGTTGGTAACTCACGTCATTACCTGAAACGCACTTATTACCGACAAGTTGATGAATAAGACATATGTACAACAGGTATTTTATTCACCTGTGTTGTATTCATCATCTGGGCTCGCTACAGTTGCTCTTGTTGCACTTTCTGACGCCCTCTCCCCCCCCCCTGTAGCTTTTAAGATTGTCTTAACTTTAGTGTGCAAGAGCTTCTGTGAGGGCGAGTGGAGGTGGTAGGTTTGTGAGAGGACTTCTGTGAGTGAGAGAGGAGGTGGTGGGTCTGTGAGGGCTGCAAAGCTGTTGTAATGTCATTCTTCCTGTGGCAGGACGTCTGTGAGTGAGATTGGAGATGGTGGGTCTGTGAGAGGACTTCTGTGAGAGAGGAGGTGATGAGTCTCTGAGGGCTGTCCAGTTATTGTAATGTCATTCTTCCTGTGGCAGGACGTCTGTGAGTGAGAGTGGAGGTGGTGGGTCTGTGAGAGGACTTCTGTGAGTGAAAGAGGACATAGTGGGTCTGTGAGGGCTGTCCAGCTATTGTAATGTCATTCTTCCTTTGGCAGGACGTCTGTGAGTGAGAGTGGAGGTGGTGGGTCTGTGAGAGGACTTCTGTGAGTGAAAGAGGAGATAGTGGGTCTGTGAGGGCTGTCCAGCTATTGTAATGTCATTCTTCCTGTGGCAGGACGTCTATGAGTGAAAGTGGAGGTTGTGGGCCTGTGAGAGGACTTCTGTGAGTGAAAGAGGAGATAGTGGGTCTGTGAGGGCTGTCCAGCTATTGTAATGTCATTCTTCCTTTGGCAGGACGTCTGTGAGTGAGAGTGGAGGTGGTGGGTCTGTGAGGGCTGTTCTGGAGATCAGATCTGTGACGGCTGCTGATGCTGGGGCCTACACCTGCCGTGCCACAAACCCTCACGGCGAGCACTCTCAAGTGTTCAATGTCGCTGTCATAGGTGAGCACTTACGATTGTTATTATTATTATTATTATTATTTTTTTTTATTATTATTATTATTATTATTATTATTATTAATTATTATTATTATTAGTGCACAGTGCATGAATCTAGACGATTTAAACGAAGTAAGTAGTTAGAACACATAAATAACCTGCACATGGGAGAGTGAAACTGATAACGACGTTTCGGTCCGACTTGGACCATTAACCAGTCACACTGAAACGTCGTCATAAGTCGACAGCCACGAGACTACGACTCATTTATATTTTTTTAAGTCGTTAAAATCTGTGTGTCATGACCACACAGTACGTGTAGAGTGTTTTAACAAAAGATGAACCCGATTTGAAATCGATATCTCTTTGAAATCGGATCCATTGTTTCGAAACAGTATACTGAGCAAGTTTCAGGTGCAGCTCAACACTGATGAGCATGTTCACGTAATAAGGAATCCTTCAGATTTTATTTTATAGCTAATCCTCCAGATTTTATTTTTAGAGATAATCCTTCAGATTTTATTTTTTAGAGATAATCCTTCAAATTTTATTTAAAGAGATAATCCTTCAGATTTTATATTTTAGAGATAATCCTTTTGATTTTATTTATAGAGATAATCCTTCAGTTTTTGTTTTTATAGATTTTTGCTGCCCATGAGGCTAGGTTGTTGTTTATCCTCAGGTGTATCCCGCGGAGGGTAGCGTAGCGTCATAAGCTGTCACCAATAGGATGGTCGTGTGGTTTTTAGTACACAGTACCTCTTATACGACACATGTTAGGGCAACCACTGACCACACGGCCACAGAGACCAAAAAAAATGAACTTGCTCGGCCAACCTTTGTCTTTGTAGTTCAATCACTAGCGTACTCAGCTCACACACTGAGGTCCAGGGGGGTCGATCCCCGGTCCGGCTGGGACAAAACTGACCTAATTTGCCCGAAATGCTCAGCATAACAAGCGGCTTTCTATATAGTAGTATGTCATTGATGTCAGCTAGGACTGTATACCTTGTACATGTACTTGTAGTAATAAAGATATTATTATTATTATTATTATTATTATTATTATTATTATTATTATTATTATTATTATTATTATTATTATTATACTTGTCGGTGCCATTTGCCACTCACATCATCCTGACGTTATTCACTGTGGTTCCTTCCTCAGAGCCGCCTACAGCGCCCACAGGAGTGACGGTGTCAGAGGTAGGAAGTCGCTCTGCTCGACTCTCCTGGTCACTGCCACAGCCTGCAGCAGTCACCATACAGTACCGAGGTAGGACACAACTGACTTGCAGCTTGTAGCAGTAATATAATGTTTGTCAGGAAACAGGATAAGTGTTTCCTGACGGGGGTCTTAATTATATGATGACCCGCAGCTGGAGCTTTTGGTCATCTGACCGAGGACTTCCGCTGGCTTGTCGGTCCAACTCTTAAAATCATAGTTATGATTATAACCATTTGGTAACTCTCTTCTTACCAGCAGCTTGAATGTTCACTATATATATAGTATATATATAGATATTATCTATATATAAATAATATATTATATATATTATATAATAAATTATATATATAAAGTATAAATAGATATACTCATATATATATAATATTATTATATATATATATATATTTATATATAGTACTATATATAATATATATTATATATATATATATAATATAAATATCATAAATATAATACACTGAGAAGTGGTATTTCTCTCAAAGTAAATACAGTGAGAGGTTTAATTTCTCTCGCATATATTCTTACTAGTGGTGGTTACTGGTGTAATATATAATAACCCTAGAAATGTAGTCGATAGGCTTTACAAAAACCCACTAACTCACTTGTCTGGATCAAAAGCGGACTCACACCACAGGAGGAGGACCGAGCCTCCATATCCTCCAGAGTGCTGAAAAACACGTTGAGGGTTATATGAATCCACCTTTAACCCTTGTCTCATCTGAGTGTAAACATATAACGATGCATTGTGAATGGCTTTATTCAAGAGTTATAGCTCCCTCTCCCCTCCTCGATCAAGCATTTTTATATAATCCCAATTCACCACAGAGATGTAGTACATGATTACCCTAATAAAAATAAAAAAATAAAATAAAAATAATAATAAAAAAAATAATAAAATAATAAAATAAAATAATTAAACAAAAACATAAAAGCATGAACAACAACACAACAACTAAGCAAAAACAAATAATTAACATATAAACATAACAAAACTAAACAATGACAACAAGTAACACCACAAAAGAATAAAGCTGTATGACCGTTGTATTTCCGCTCACTGGCAGCGCAAGGCGAGACGAGGTATCCCATGGCGAAACGTCAGTGTGGTTCAGTGGGCATCAGGCACGTGTTGCCGGGACTGACTCCCTACCATGCATACGCTGTGAGACTGATGGCCCACAACGACCTGGGGGTGTCCCAGCCCTCACAGGTCCAGGTCTTCACCACCAGGGAGGAAGGTTAGTCCTCTGGGTTACCTGTCACCCACACCCTCCCCCAGGTTACCTGTCACTCACACCCTCCCCCAGGTTACCTGTCACCCACACCCTCCCCCAGGTTACCTGTCACCCACACCCTCCCCCAGGTTACCTGTCACCACTTTACCACCCACTCCCCAGGTTACCTGTCACCCACACCCTCCCCCAGGTTACCTGTCACCCACACCCTTCCCCCAGGTTTACCTGTCACCCACACCCTCCCCCAGGCTACCTGTCACCCACACCCTTCCCCAGGTTACCTGTCACCCACACCCTTCCCCAGGTTACCTGTCACTCACACACCCTCCCCCAGGTTACCTGTCACCCACACCCTTCCCCAGGTTACCTGTCACCCACACCCTCCCCCAGGTTACCTGTCACCCACACCCTCCCCCAGGTTACCTGTCACTCACACCCTCCCCAGGTTACCTGTCACCCACACCCTTCCCCAGGTTACCTGTCACCCACACCCTCCCCCAGGTTACCTGTCACCCACACCCTTCCTCAGGTTACCTGTCACCCACACCCTTCCTCAGGTTACCTGTCACCCACACCCTCCCCAGGTTACCTGTCCACCCACACCCTTCCCCAGTTACCTGTCACCCACACCCTTCCCCAGGTTACCTGTCACCCACACCCTTCCCCAGGTTACCTGTCATCCATACCCCTTCCCCAGGTTATTTCTCACCCACACCTTCCCCCAGGTTATCTGTCACCCACACCCTTTCCCAGGTTACCTGTCATCCACACCCTCCCCCAGGTTACCTGTCACCCACACCCTCCCCCAGTTACCTGTCACCCATACCCCTTCCCCAGGTATTTGTAACCCACACACCCCCCAGGTTACCTGTCACCCACACCCTTTCCCAGGTTACCTGTCACCCACACCCTCCCCCAGGTTACCTGTCACCCACACCCTTCCCCAGGTTACCTGTCACCCACACCCTTCCCCAGGTTACTGTCACCCACAACCCTTTCCCAGTTTACCTGTCACCCAACACCTCCCCCCAGGTTACCTGTCACCCACAACCCTTCCCCAGGTTACCTGTCATCCATACCCCTCCCCAGGTTATTTGTACCACTAAACCCGTCCCCCAGGTTACCTGTCACCCCACAACCCTTTCCCAGTTACCTGTTCACCTCACACCCTCCCCCAGGTTACCTGTCACCCACACCCTTTCCCAGGTTACCTGTCACCCACACCCTTCCCCAGGTTACCTGTCATCCACACCCTTCCCCAGGTTACCTGTCACCCACACCCTTCCCCAGGTTACCTGTCACCCACACCCTTTCCCAGGTTACCTGTCACCCACACCCTTCCCCAGGTTACCTGTCACCACACCCTCCCCAGGTTACCTGTCACCACACCCTCCCCAGGTTACCTGTCATCCATACCCTTCCCCAGGTTATTTGTCCACCCACACCCTTCCCCAGGTTACCTGTCACCCACAACCCTTCCCCAGGTTACCTGTCACCCACACCCTTCCCCAGGTTACCTGTCATCCATACCCCTTCCCCAGGTTATTTGTCACCCACACCTTCCCCCAGGTTATCTGTCACCCACACCCTTCCCCAGGTTACCTGTCATCCATACCCTCCCCAGGTTACCTGTCACCCACACCTTTCCCCAGATTACCTATTACCCAAACCCTCCCCAGGTTACCTGTCACCCACACTCTCCCTCAGGTTACCTGTCATCCACACCCTTCCAAAGGTTACCTGTCACCCATACCCTCCCCCAGGTTGCCTGTCACCCACGCTCTTCCCCAGGTTACCTATCTTCCACATCCTCTCTCAGTCTCTCTGTCTAACTCACCTTCCGTCAGGCTGTCTATCTAACTCACCTTCCCTCAGATTACCTGTCTAACTCACGTTCTCTCAGGTTGCCTGTCTAACTCACCTTTCCCCCCCCCCCCCCCCGTTTTACCTGAAGTGCAATTTAGAGAGCAAGACTGTTCAAAATATGAGAAAAAAAATATGTTTTTGCACAAAATAACATCAATCCATTCATATTGTAGCCAAGATCTCAAATATGTCAGAAAACGCTCTCCAGCTGTGGCATTCACGGTATTCACATTACATTAAAGAAGGTAATTAGCTTTTACACAGTACCGTGAAAAGGGTGGTGGTGGTGGTGGTGGTGGTCTTTATATTACGTTATGAAAGGTAATCTAGATAGCGTTGCATAATATGTTAAGTACCGTAGGAGGGTTGCAGTAGTGGAAAAAATGTCAGTGCCGGTGTATCCACAGCGCCGTCAGGAGCACCGCAGGACGTGCGTGTGGCTTCAGGAGGTCCCCACTCCTTGCTGGTGACCTGGAGAGCCCCCGTCCCCCGCCTCACCCACGGTCCCCTCAGGGGTTACACCATCGCCCTCCGCCGCCAGAACCTCCAGGGACACCTCACCTACATCACCAGACCCATCACTGCCTCCCCAGGTAAGATTTCGAGCATCCTCCACTCAAGGGAGGGGAGGATGTTTGATCCAAGTGAAGGATTCGGGATGCAGAGAAATATGGCTACCCTTTCCTTCCTTGGCTCGGGCTTGTTTACTTCCCCATTTACCCAAGTGTTGTATGACCCCTTAAGTGCTTCTCGTGAATGTAATAATAATATAATAATAATAATAATAATAATAATAATAATAATAATAATAATAATAATAATAATAATAATAATAATAATAATAATAATAATGTGCTGGTATCCTGGTATAACAATACGCTTGTATCTTGATATATCTAAAGGCAAAAATTAATTATGGTTTGTTTTATATATTCTTTAATATTTTTTTTAATAAATTATGCAATTTTTCTTAGAGACTAAATATATATTGTGTACAGGTGTCCTTCACTCTGATACGTTTACTTTGTAGTCAATTTTTACAGCTTTCACTAAAAAAAAATCTTAACCTCGTATGATTGTTCACAATGTATATTTCTTAAGCCCAGAGCTCTGCTTGGATGCTAATATTTCCTACAATATTAATACACAAATATCCTTCACACAGGAGAATGAAACTTATAATGAGGTTCCAATTCAAGCTGAACCATTAACTACTTTCATTCTCCCTAAGTGCGAGTTATTTGTGTATTGTTCCAGTCAAGGAATTGAGTCTTTATTAGTATAATACGATATTAATAGAGGATAATATAAGGTTCCTCCGGGCCACTCTGCTGCAGGTGACACGGAGGCTGTGGAGCAGTACGAGGTACAGGGGCTGACATCAGCCTCCCTCTACGAAGTAGCTGTGAGAGCGTTTACTAGGGCAGGAGCAGGTCCTCTCTCCTCCCCGAGAATAGTGGATTCTACCAGCCACGATGGTAAGCTGTCCGGGTAGATTGAGAATAGATGGTGGTGGGAATCAGAATGTAATGGTTGTTATATGTGAAATTATAAAAATATTGTCCGGGTATGGCAATGAGATGTGAGTATGAATACTTAGATCATTTCTCTTGGCACCCTCAGCGCCTTCGTGCCCACCTGCTGGAGTGTCGTGCCGAGGGTCGGGGCGTGGCAGTGTGAGGGTGTGGTGGTCACCCCCACCCACACACTGTGTGCCCGCCCCTGTCAGTGGCTACACAATCGTCGCTACACCCACCAAGCATGTCCAGCACTCTTCTGGTGGTAGGTATCATGAATCCAACATTCTGCTGGTAGTAAGTCTAACATGTCTAATACATCTCTTACCAAGTCTTTGAAAAAAATCTTCAGCCATATACGCAAATTTTCAAAGTTACTTTGATAATGCACCTTCTGTCGACTGGTTATACTATTGTCTTGCGTTATAATAAAATTAGTATTTAACGATTACGTAACACCGGGAGAGATCACGAATTACAAAGGTCTACATCTGAGAACGAATATTTGAAGGTGAAATGTTGTACTAATAAAGGTCTTCTTTTGTTCTGTGTGCATTTTTACCACGAATTCTCTAACTCGTCGAAGCAGGTAAGGAGAATCGTTGTTTAGAAGATTTAGCGGAGGCTGGTGTCCCTTGTCGTGACCAGTTTATCCTTCTCATGGCGTTGACCAACGCTGGGCTGGTAATTTAGAAAAATAAATGTAGAACGAAGAAGAAATACGTATAAGCAGCGCTTATATAGAAACAAACCACCACTAAGAAAAATGAGGGGAGGGAGAGGGGGGGGCTTTTAGCATCTCCTCATCTCTTGCACAACTTCTCCGAAAATACAGATCCATTACATGACCTAATATTGCTAGGTTCAGTCTCGTTTTTCACCACCACACAGTGTAACGTCCCTCCTCACCCGCTGTGACGGGTAATATAAATTCGTGTTGTTCTGTCCTGTGTAAGATTTGATAAAACACATACCGATTGCAGCGTTATCTAGTAAGAGCTCAAGTTGCTGAGTTTTCTTTTTATTGTACAGTTAACCCTAAATTAAGTAACTTGGATCAACTTTATTGTTATTTTAGACTTAATAACTTCGAGATCAGACACTGCAGCAACGACTATTTATTTCTCTCATTAATGGTAACTCCAAGACTGCCACTCTGATCATGTCGGTCACTTTACTACCAGTGTCTCCTGTGTTGGACTCAGGTATAAAATAAACCACAGATCGTACAGTAAGTATTACTTCATATGACGGATGTGATTAATTACAACTTGGCCTGAAGTTAAAAGTTACTAGCTGAGCTGAATATGTAAAGTTCTGAACTACTCTGAGCGAGACAGCATCCAATTACGACGCTCCAGGAAAACATTTAAAATGTGCGAAAGGTATATTAATAAAGATATTATCTTAATTAAACAACTGCTGCTTTCTTATTGCATTTAGCAATGAGAAAGCAGCAGTGTTGTACGACTTGTCAGTTAAGCTTCTTAACCTGTGTTTCATCCTTCATGTGTTTTTAAAAATGTCACTGACTGACTCATATATATTCTCAGTTTATTTCACATATTGACGTCTCGTAGCGCGACTTAAATTTCAGTTTCTTTTCATGTGTCACGTTTCTAAGATAAATATCGTAAGTAATTTTGATATCAGAACTTTTACTCTGAAGTTTTATTCACAAAAAAAACTATCACTGTTGCGCGTACTCTGCTGCTCGTGTAAGTAACATCATGCCATGACAGGAGGAATTATCAGTCTTGGGGAGACTAGGTGGGGCCGTGAAGACCACGTCAGCGCTGGGACTATCTGAACCAGATCAGACTACTTATTTTCTGCTAGCAATAGCCAAATATTCGTCAAGTATGTTAAACTGTCAACACTCATGTCTTGCTAGCTGTTGTTCCCTCCGAATTCTAGCTCTGTAATGCTTCAAGCTTTAAGACATCTTCACGATGCTGGTTAGTAAGTGTGTCCAGTGTGTACCGTGGCAGAACGGCAGGTAATCCTGATCGTTGCCCTGGCAGGCAACACCTGGGAGGTTAACACAACCAATCTGGAGAAAAACTTGGACGGTCTGCCGCCAGCCACCAACGTCAGTGTTCGTGTCAAGGCGTTCAACGACGTCGGCTTCAGTCCTTCCAACGACCCTGTCTTCTGTGTCACGGAAGATGACGGTAAACATTCAGAACTCTTTATCTCTCTTCATGATCTGAATTAAAATGCTGCGAGTGCATCAGAAAAAAAGTTCTATTTTATCGATTTTCCTTGAACATTTTGATACAATGTTGATGTAATTTTGGTATAATATTGACACAATGTTGATACAATGTTGATACAATGTTGATACTATGTTGATACACGTAATTAAGAACTTATTTTTGTATCTCACTATCAAAAAGACAACTTGAACACTAGGCACTTAGATAATACCTTCAAAAACAGAGTATATATTCCACACAGTGCCGAGTCCTCCCCGGAAGGTCCGGGTTATAGTGACAGGTGGCACTACGCTATTGGTAACGTGGTCACCTCCACAGCCCCACACCGGTACCATACTCCACTACACACTCTATTCCGCCAGGGACGACCAGGTAAGTACTTCTACCAGTGTAGAGTTGACCAGCCTGGTGTCGGATATTGTACAAGTGATTAGTGCGTAGATTGTGTACTGAGAACCAGGGCAGTGTAAAAGTGACCAGGGGAAAAATGTGTAGGCAGTCTAAAAAATCATTTTTTGAATGATTACTGTAAATATGAAAGAGGTGTTGCATGCGTAATATACAGAAGACATAAAAGTGGTGGTACGTGGTCGTGTTGAGCAGACATGTTGCATGAGAGCAGCAGAATGATGATGATGATGTGTTGCAGGTAGCAGTGAGGGACGTGGTGGGTGCTGGAGGTTCCGAGGCCACCTGGAGGGAGCTGAGCGGCCTCACACCTGCCTCCAGAGTACAGGTTAGTTCTCGTAGTCATTCTTTTATATTACATATACCAAAAATTTCACGGATATAAGCGTCTGTCAGCAAAATGCAGGAAAGGAAGGCTAGTCACAAGTGAGTCTGTACACATATATGAAAACGTAACACACTCTCTGAAATAACTTTTTATGATAACTGACCCTAGACATCTCCAACCGTCTGTTATTTCTGTTATTAGTGTATAGACTGATAAACAGATGGAGCTCAACAGAACTGTTCAACTCCATCTGCAAGAATGTGAAATGGAAAAATGCAAAAAACGAGAGCTGAGATGTAATATCTGGAGTAAATCTGGAGAGGGTTTCGGGGGTCAACGCCCCCGCGGCCCGGTCTGTGACCAGGCCTTATGGTGGATCAGGGTCTGATCAACCAGGCTGTTACTGTTAGCCGCACGCAACCCGACGTACGAACCACAGCCCGGCTGGTCAGGTACTGACTTGAGGTGCCTGTCCAGTGCCTTCTGGAAGACAGTCAGGGGTCTATTGATAATCCCTCTCATGTATGCTGGTAGGCAGTTGAACAGTCTTGGGCCCCTGACACTTGTGAATATTAAAATGGTATACAATACCGACAGGTTGGTAGGTAAGACACATGGGCAACAGTTAGGCAACTTTACTCCGTAACGTTTCACCTACACAGTAGGTTTCTTTAGTCGAGTACAAAAGTAGTCAGGAGCAGTAGAGATGTGAAGATGATGTAATCAGTCCATCACCCTTGTAGTCGGAGATTTGAGGTTGTCAGTCCCTCAGCCTGGAGAAGAGTTCTGTTCCATAGTCTGAAACAATCTATTTGAGACTGGAACAGAACTCTTCTCCAGGCTGAGGGACTGACAACCTCAAATCTCCGACTACAAGGGTGATGGACTGATTACATCATCTTCACATCTCTACTGCTCCTGACTACTTTTGTACTCGACTGAAGAAACCTACTGTGTAGGTGAAACGTTACGGAGTAAAGTTGCCTAACTGTTGCCCATGTGTCTTACCTACCGCCACTGACACTTATTGTGTTATCCCTTATCGTGTTAGGGCGCCCCTGCTTTTCATGGGAGGGGGAGGATGTTGCATCGTCTGATAAATCTTTTGCTTTCATAGGGAGTGATTTTCGTGTGCAAGTTTGGTACTAATCCCTCTAGGATTTCCCAAGTATATATAATCATGTATTTCTCTCGCCTGCGTTCTAAGTAGTACAGGTTGAGGAACTTAAAGCGTTCCCAGTAACTGAGATACTTTATTGCAGTTATGGGCGCCGTGAAGATTTTCTGTACATTTTCTAGATCAGCAATTTCACCTGCCTTGAAAGGCGTTGCTAGTGAGGAGCAATATTCCAACCCAGATAGAACAAGCCACCTGAGGAGTGCCATCATGGGCTTGGCATCCCTGGTTTTGAAGGTCCTCATTATCCATCCTTTCATTTTTCTAGCAGATGCGATTGATACAATGTTATGGTCCTTGAAGGTGAGATCTTCTGACATGATCACTCCCAGGTCTTTTACATTAGTTTCTCGCTCTGTTGTGTCGTTGGAATTTTATACACCGATATAGTTTTAATTTCCTCACGTTCGACTATTAGAAATATTTTTTTTATATATACCGAGTTTATAGCAAGTCGAATAATTAAATTATTTATGGCAAAAAATGTCCCATTGCACAATAAGTTTTTACTGGGACAATGTTTCGCTCTTTGTAGAAGTTTATCATTAAAACTCATCAGATAGCGAAGCGTTGGCTCAGTTTTGCCCTGCAACGTGTGTCTTCTGTTTAATGTTGTCGTCAGTGTGACAATTAGATGTAATTTAATTTTATTTTGTGACGAGATAAATAGTATAATGTGGACATTACCAGGTGTGGGTGACTGCTACCACTGTAGCTGGAGAAGGTAGTCAATCCCCGAGGCTCACCGCCCTGCCCACACCAACCCCCACACACGCACCCATTGCTGTGGGCGGTGGGCGGTCGTGGTGGGTGGGTTCTGGTTCCGGGGTCACCCTGGGTTGCAGAGCCCTGGGATCGCCGACACCTACCATCACCTGGATGAAGAACAGCGTAGCAGTCAGCAACAGTCACCTGACCCAGCTGCTGCCAGGGGGCGACCTCCACCTCACAGGTGAGTCCTCACTCCTGCCACACACTTCCAAAAAAAAAAAAATCCCACCTAATATCCTACTCCTGAATTTCAGCTTCACACACACACACACACACACACACACACACACACACACCAACACACACACACACACACACACACACACACACACACAACATACACACACACACACACACACACACACACACACACACACACACACACAGGAGTTCTGAGTCTTTGAAGTTGAACATTAAGCTTTAGTAATTACGGAGGTCACGTGCAATTATCGTCAGACTCACAGCTTACACACAGCTATAAAAATCATGTTTATGTTTCAGACTCTCCATTTCTTCCCATTACAGTTTATTATGGACTTGAATTACATTCGTTCGTCGAAATTTTTCTGGTCAAATGAAGTACACGATGACACTGGGTAAAATATACAGCCAGCTCTCTTGCGAAGCTCCTCCGTGAAATGCGATTATTTTTGTAAATGTGATTGGAAAGTTCTTTCAAAATATAATAGTTCGTGCTGTTAAATTTTGGATCCACTTTTTAAATTGCATTTATATATCCAATAGGGTCGGAGACCCTTGGAGCATGGGGCAAGTGTGCTCTAAAGTTCCTCAAAGAGCTGGGTGAAAAGCTCATCATAGAAACCAAGGAACCAGGGCGACCAGCTTCCTCTTTCAGAGACTCAGTGTAGCGATCCAGAGAGGAAATGCCTGCAGCATTCTGGGCACGCGGCCTACCGCCGGGGAGCTAGACGAAGTAGTCGAGATGTAGCTCTGAGTTACCTATGTTGTTTTACTTTCTATTGTATCTTTGTGAATGTTTTGTCAATGTATTTTGTCTTTAAATAAAATATATATTAATTAAATATAGGGGGTGGTAGAAGAAAATTCTCAAACAGCTTCAGGAGAACCTTGAGGTTTCCCTGAAGCAAGTTTATTCTTTTCTCTGAGGATGAGGGTCCCTATAACAGTTCTAGAGGTGGTACCTCCCTATATATATATATATATATATATATATATATATATATATATATATATATATATATATATATATATATATATATATATATATATATATATATATATATATATATATATATATAATATATATTTATTATATATATATATATATATATATATATATATATATATATATATATATATATATATATATATATATATATATATATATAAGGTTTATAATAGAATTGACTGTACACGTCGTACTAATAATAAAATATCAGAATTATTTATATAAAAAATAGCAGTTTATTAGAAAGAAAGATACAGTTATCATTGTTCAGGCAGGTGAGTGATATTTGTTTATCCCCACAACTTAGTGTTCTATTGTGAAGTTAGAAATACTTTCCTATTTACGAAAGTTATTTAATTGTATCCTAGTATACTCCAGGTATCCTAGACAGCCACAATTAAATAGAAAATTATCTGGTTAATCAGTACTGCATCTGATAAGTTTAAAAGTGTCGTGCAGGAGTCTTCGAAACAAATTTGAATTCTGTTTTCTGAATTACTCGTTCCAGTTTGGTTGATACATTTAATGTTTCTCTTGAGTTGAAGACTGCTGGATATATACCTTAGCACGAACAAGCGGGATTTAAAAATTTTGTAAGCGTTAACAAGCACTGAGAAAATCGGATATCACAGCCTCCAGAAATAGTGAAAAATAGTTTGACAACCATTTTTCACTGTTTCTGAAAAGCACTGGCATAAAATTTATGTGGTTCCGAGTAAGATACAATTCATTCGATGTTCATCACACAACCACGTCTTGCAGTCCCTCTGTACCAGCCAAACTGATAGGTCGGTGTGACTGCCTGGGACCCCAGCCGCTCTGATTCGCTGTCAAGTTTATACATCAAACAATTGATTGACAGCTCTACTTCAAACTAACTGATGTAATATTTACTGTCCTGGATGAAGTCGGACTCTATAGATAAATGGATCAGAGGACACAGAGTGGCTTCCTCAGTCCATTACAAAAATAAGATTCTTATCATGATTGATGGACTGATTTACATGGACTCCAGGCTGAGGGACTGATTACCTCAATCTCCTTCTGATTTTTACTATTCTTCTTTGTATTAGACTGATAAAGCTACTATGTGGCGAAACGTTTCAACAATAAACATACCCAAGTGTGGAATATGTGTTTAATTTATCAAGTCAGACTTTCACTAGCCGGCTACATACACACACACTTGCATGTGTTACTAGTATCTTTGTTAGGTGCCAGATCACTAGGCTGTGATGGATATATGGGGCTGAAGGCCATTAGCAGCAACAGCCTGGTTGACCAGACAAACACCGGACGAGCCTGGCCCATGGCCGGGCTCCTGGAGTAGAAAGATTGTCGAAACTCATCAAAGGTAGTGAAAAACAGTTGTATTAAGTGAACTCCCTCTGTTCTCTCTCTCTCTCTCTCTCTCTCTCTCTCTCTCTCTCTCTCTCTCTCTCTCTCTCTCTCTCTCTCTCTCTCTCTCTCTCTCTCTCTCTCTCTCTCTCTCTCTGTCGTTCATTAACATCCCGTTGCCATTACGCTTTGTACCGTAAATATTGGTACAGGTATTCGAACACTGCTCCTTGTTATTATTATTATTATTATTATTATTATTATTATTATTATTATTATTATTATTGTTGTTGTTGTTGTTGTTGTTGTTGTTGTTGTTGTTGTTGTTGTTGTTGTTGTTGTTGTTGTTACCTTTGAGGTTGTTGCTTCTCCGGGCGCTTGTTTTACTGCCAGATACTACAAACTCATTCTTTGTGTAAGTTTTGTTCGTGATTCTTGACTATACAGAAGAAGCTACAAGATGGTGGAAATGTTAAATGACTCACGAAATCGTAATGACACGATTGCAAACGGCCCACGGTACGGGTGGGGCTTGAACTCGCGGCAAGTTTCACGACTCACTTGCCGCGAGTTCAATACCAATCTGGTGATGGGGGTAGGGGGGGTTCTTGATACGAGGGAATTATGTTACCCTTCCTCTTCTTCTGATCAAACCTAATTACCTTTCCTGACTCTAGAGCTGCGAGTAATATGATCAAATAATGATGATCGCTTGTCCCTCAGCGGTACGTGAGTCTGCCAATTACACGTGCTGGGTACGTAACAGCGTGGGCGTGGACAGTCTGACACACTCGGTGGTGGCGGTCACCACGCCCACGCCCCCCACACTCACCTTCGTCCACGCCACCCACCACGCCCTCAACCTCACCATTAACCCGACTGGTGACGGAGGAGCTCCCATCCTGGGTAAGTAAACATGTCTTTTTAATCATAAGCTGATCTCAGTGGAATGACGGGCCTATAATCTCAGTGGAATAACGAATAACGAGCCTCTAATCCCAGTAAAATGACGAACCTCATATCTCAGTGGAATGATGGGCCTCTAGTCTCAATGAAATGACGGGCCACAAAACCATAATTAGGCAGTAGTAATATTATTAATCAAATCTATTGCTATCTTTTATAATTTTCCTTAATACATTACCATGAAAACATACTGCATTCATTACGGTTCGTTCCCTCTCATGCACTGCCTCACAGGATACTCCGTGCATCACCGTCAGCGAGCTGGTGAGTGGGTGGAGTCTGGTGTCGACGCCGGGGTGAAGAGTGTGGTGGTGAGGGGTCTTCCCTGTGGTGCTCCACACCATATTTACATCACAGCATGGAACGCCCATGGTACAAGTGCCCCTAGTCCCGTCCTTCTGGCTAACACCCTGGGTAGTGGTAAGTCATTTTAGCCCCGTCCTTCTAGCTAACACCCTGGGTAGTTGTAAGTCACTTTAGCCCCCGTTCTAACACCTTGGGTAGTGGTAAGTCACTTTAGCCCCCGTTCTACTAGCTAACACCCTGGGTAGTAGTAAGTCACTTTAGCCCCCGTTCTACTAGCTAACACCCTGGGTAGTAGTAAGTCACTTTAGCCCCCGTTCTACTAGCTAATACCCTGGGTAGTAGTAAGTCACTTTAGCCCCCGTTCTACTAGCTAACACCCTGGGTAGTAGTAAGTCACTTTAGCCCCCGTTCTACTAGCTAACACCCTGGGTAGTGGTAAGTCACTTTAGCCCCGTTATACTAACACCCTGGGTAGTGGTAAGTCACTTTAGCCCCGTTATACTAACACCCTGGGTAGTGGTAAGTCACTTTAGCCCCGTTCTACTACTAACACCCTGGGTATAAGTCATTTAGCCCACGTTCTACTACTAAACCCTGGGTAGATGTAAGTCACTTTAGCCCCGTTATACATAACACCCTGGGTAGTGGTAAGTTCACTTTAACTCCTACTAACTAACACTGGGTTGGTAAAACTTTAACCTCCGTTATACTAAACCTGGGTAGTGGTAAGTTACTTTAGCCCGTTATACTAACACCCTAGGTATGAAGTCATTAACCTCGTTTACTAACTACCTGGTAGTGGTTAGTTACTTTAACTCCGTAATAAAATACCCTGGTATATGGTAAGTACTTTAGCCCCGTTAAACTAACACCTCTGGTAGTGGTAGTTACTTTACTCCGTTATACTAACACTGGGTCAAAACAAGTATGGTAAGTCACTTTAGCCCGTTTATACTAACACCCTGTGTAGTGTAGTACTTTGCTCGTTATACTAAACCCTGGTAGTGGTAAGTACTGTAGTCCGTTTACTACCTGTTAGTTTCACTTCGTAACAACACTGTAGATCGTAACGTTGGGCAATTTTATCGTCGTATCGCTTCTCTCACGGTTGCCTTAGCCTCCATTACTTGGTTGTTAATTGTTTCAGCCAATTGTACTCCCTATAGGTCTGAAAGTTGCATGTACCTGTTCATACTCTGGCTTCTCTATTCGCTGAAATCAGCTGCAGTCCACTTACTCGTGTCCATGAACTTTAACATACACATCTCGGTGTTATTAAGACTGCACTATTGTGTCATGGCTTCCACTACTGCTGTGTCAGTATGTGTTTCACCTCGTATGTGTCTGTGTGTGTGTTGTGGTGTGTGTAAGTGTCTGTATGTGTTATTATGTGGTGTGATGTGTGGTTTTCACAATTTGTCACTCTTATTGTAGTTGCGGCCTCTGTCATAGATCGGCTTGACTATCGTGATCGCTGCTAGGTCCACTCTCTCCCTGCTCCATGAACTTTATCATACCTCTTCTTAAAGCTGCATATGGATCCTGCTTCCACTACATCACTTTCCAGATTGTTCCACCTCCTGTCAACTCTGTCTGTGTGTGTGTAAGTGTACTCACCTAATTGTACTCACTTAACTGTGGTTGCAGGGGTCGAGACTCAGCTCCTGGCTCCGCCTCTTCACTGATCGCTACTAGGTCCTCTCTCTCTCTCGCTTCCTGAGCTTTGTCATACCTCGTCTTAAAGCTATGTATGGTTCCTGCCTCCACTACGTCACTTGCTAGGCTATTCCACTTCCTGACGACTCTATGACTGAAGAAATACTCTAACATCCCTGTGACTCGTCTGAGTCTTCAGCTTCCAATTGTGACCCCTTGTTTCTGTGTCCCCTCTCTGGAACATCCTGTCTCTGTCCACCTTATCTATTCCCCGCAGTATATCGTATGTCGTTATCATGTCTCCCCTGACCCTTCAGTCCTCCAGTGTCGTCAGTCCGATTTCCTTCAACCTTTCATCGTAAGACATAACCCTGAGCTCCGGAACTAGCCTTGTTGCAAGTCTTTGTACTTTCTCTAACGTGCTTGACCAGGTGTGGGTTCCAGACTGGTGCTGCATACTCCAATATGGGCCTGACGTACACGGTGTAGTGTCTTGAACGATTCCTTACTAAGGTGTCGGAACGCTATTCTCAGGTTTGCCAGGCGCCCATATGCTGCAGCAGTTATCTGGTTGATATGTGCTTCCGGAGACGTGCTCGGTGTTATACTCACCACAAGATCTTTCTTCTTGAGCGAGGTTTGCAGTCTTTGGCCACCTAGCCTATACTTCGTCTGTGGTCTTCTGTGCCCTTCCCCGATCTTCATGACTTTGCATTTGGTGGGGTTAAATTCGAGAAGCCAGTTGCTGGACCAGGTGTCCAGCCTGTCCAGGTCTCTTTGAAGTCCTGCCTGATCCTCATCTGATTTAATTTTCCTCATTAACTTCACATCATCTGCGAGCAGGGACACTTCAGAGTCTATCCCTTCCATCATGTCATTCATTATGTGTGTGTGTGTGTGTGTGTGCGTGTGTGTGTGTGTGTGTGTGTGTGTGTGTGTGTGTGTGTGTGGGTGTGTGTGTGGGTGTGGTAATGTGTATGCGCATGTGTATATGTGTGTGTGTGTGTGTGTGGTGTGTGTGTACTCACCTATTCTCACCTATTTGTGGTTGCAGGGGTCGAGTCACAGCTCCTGGCCCCGCCTCTTCGCTGATTGCTACTAGGTCCTCTCTCTCCCTGCCCCATGAGCTCTATCATACCTCGCCTTAAAACTATGTATGGTTCCTGCCTCTACCACATCACCTTCTAGGCTATTCCATGGCCTGACTACTCTATGACTGAAGAAATACTTCCTAACATCCCTTTGATTCATCTGAGTCTTCAACTTCCAATTGTGACCTCTTGTGTCTGTGTCCCATCTCTGGAACATCCCGTCTTTGTCCACCTCGTCTATTCCGTGTGTGTGTGTGTGTGTGTGTGTGTTTATTACAATTTTTTTTTTTCAGATGTTAAACCCATTATAATTTCAGCTAAGAAACCCCTGATGCAAGCGTAAACAGTCTGTTACTGAACATGTCAATCTGAGATTGCAATATAGAGTCTCTGTTTTTGCACTGTGTTGCTGTCTCCTCGTCAGTTCTCTCTAGCTACTGACAAGTGTCCACTACACTGATGGCTATTAATGGTGTTGTCTTAACAGCTCCAGGTCGTCCTGATCCAGCTAAGTTAGTGGAGGTTAACGCTACATGTGTGACGCTGCGCCTCTACGTCTGGCCGGAGCTGGGATGCCCCGTCACACACTGGAAGGTACCACTCTGACTCTCTTAAAATAAGATTAGATGAGATATCATTGTTTATTTATATTTTTAGGTTATTTAGGTTTGGTAAGTTAGTCTATCATTTAAAAAAATAGTAATAATCGTAGAATTACCGAAAAAAGTGTTAATTAAATGTACACAGGTGCAAATAATGAGCCATTTTATTGTGTCATTGTAAAATGTTGACACAGAATATCACATTAGTTGCATCTGTGTCCATTAACATAACATTTTGTCGGTAATTTTACCATTATTATTATTTGTTTATTAATAGAGAACAGTCTAACTTAGCGTACCTAACCAAAATAATGTAAAATGAGAAATGTGTTGCAAATTGTGTGTGAATAATCCAGAGAGTACTGGCAAGTCTATCTCATCACTGTTTACTGAGGCTTGGTTATACCTGTAAAGTAAAAGGACACAAGTGCAACTAATGTGACATTTATTGTGGCAACGTTTCGCTCTCCAGGAGCTTTATCAAGCTTGATAAAGCTCCTGGAGAGCGAAACGTTGCCACAATAAATGTCACATTAGTTGCACTTGTGTCCTTTTACTTTACATATTGTCGGTAATTCTACCAACTTTATTGATTATACCTGTTGTGTCATTATATATTTGAGAAATATAACATGGCATTTATCATTCAGGAGTTTTGTGGTTCAACTCACTTTTCAGAATAAGGAAAATAATGCATCTGAAGAATTATTTTAAGTGATATAATATAAACAAGACTTTGAAAATCGTATTATTTTTTTAATTTATTAGTTAAGGCACGAACACTGTCACTTGTCTAACCTGGGTTTCAAGGTTCATTTAGTGTAAGCCACTGTAGGCTCAATGTCAACTACGAATATACATAGGCCTTCTAGCAAGGTTCTTTAAAGCGCAGTTCTTCGTAAACTCATAAAAAAATGCATCAACAGTATACTCAGTCTATGAGAAGACCTTCAGAGTACCATCTATTAAATTTTTGGATGCAATTACTCAATCGGATTTGAAAAATAAAAACACTACACAAAGGTGCCTTAATTAAGAGTCTACTGTATTAGTATGTTAGTTAATTATATGATTACCACATAACCCAGAATATTGTATAAGTTACCCTGGCATACAGTATACTTCCATCATCGTATCAACATCTTGCATCTCAAACATACTTCTCCATCCTATGCAGTAAACTATAAATACTCAAGATAGAAATTATTTAACATATATAAAGAAGGCAATTTACAAGTCGTGAAAACTTTCGTAAAATTTATTTGAAGGTTTTAAGGTAATTAGTAACTGAACTCACTACTCTAGAAGAGCGACAGTCACAACTAAACCAAGTTGTTGCTAAAACAACACAAAACATAAGAAATATGAAGCACTGCAGCAGGCCCTGCTGGCCTAAGCTAGTCAGGTCCAAGTCACATCCACTTAAGTATTACTAACATACTGTATGTGTTGCAAGAAGACGTTGCAAGAAGTTGTGTTGCACTCCCACCGTGGAGTGCAACACAACCTTTTCTGGCGAATAAGACACACGTTCGTAACATTGTATTGCCGAACAGTCTCGCTTGCACAAAAAAACTTCTTCAGTCAAATACAACACAAGTATAACAAGAGGCAGACATGGAGAGGTAATTTTAGGGTGATCAGTCCCGCAGCCTTGACAGGTGTTCAGTCCCTGAGTCGAAAAACATGCTAAACTATGGAAACATTCCTCTTATGTTTATTAAGTTAACATTACCAAGTCTAAAGAGGTGATGTATTTGTACATATTATTACTCTGGGTTACAGGTGGAGCTTGGCAACGAAGAGACGGACCTGTCATGGAAACCTCTGTACTCTCAGGTGACCCGCGACACCAGTGACTTGGGTCTGTGTGACCTGACTTCGGCCACGGGTCACCTGCTGCGGATCACAGCAGCTTCCACTGCAGGAGATACAGCTGTCGTGTACCGTGTGGCCACCAGGGACCATACTGGAGGTCAGTCATGTGTGAAACGGTAAAATAACAAATGAATACGACCTCAGTGTCTTCTTCAGTTGTCTCCAGTGTATCAGTCACTCCATTCGTCTGCAGAAGCCTGCAGTCGAATATAGAGTGTGAAGTGTTCACCTCTGTAGTCTTGAATAATGCATGTAATTATCACGAAATAAAGGCAATTAGCTAAGCGAGGCAATTAGCAAATTTAAATAGGCATTTATCAAATTTGAAGTTATTTCATTACCAAATCCTAAGACTCGTAGCTTCAGTATCATCCCATCAAGGGCTACTCCATGATGGGGCTCTTGATCTCAGAAATTGAAGCTGTGCTTCCTTTCCCTGGATCGTACCTGAATGCCTCCCATTCCCGCAGGTTTTGTGTGACCCCGTACAGCTTTAGCGCTCGCTCTTTTGAATGTAATAATAATAATAATAATAATAATAATAATAATAATAATAATAATAATAATAATAATAATAATAATAATAACTCTGTGTCTCATCTTTCTCATCTTCTGTTTTGAAGGTTCTATGACAGCTGAGGCGGTGCAGGAGGTGCTGGTCAGCAACCAGACTGTTGCTGGTGGCTGGCTGGATGTACATGTTGTAGCTGGTGCTGTCAGTGCGCTGCTCCTTGCTGCTGCACTCATCATCTGTCTGTGTGTCGCTGTCAGCAGGCGCAGATACGGCGGGTACAGGTGAGTACTCAGGGTACAGGTGAGTACTCAGGGTACAGGTGAGTATTCAGAGTACAAGTGAGTACTCAGGGACAGGTGAGTACTCAGGGTACAGGTGAGTACTCAGGGTACAGGTGAGTATTCAGAGTACAAGTGAGTACTCAGGGACAGGTGAGTACTCAGGGTACAGGTGAGTACTCAGGGTACAGGTGAGTATTCAGAGTACAAGTGAGTACTCAGGGACAGGTGAGTACTCACGGCTAAATAAAATTAACAGATTAGAACTTAAACAACCGAAAACCAATCCGAAGTTTTCGTTGAGTACAACACACCGGCGACAGAAGTTTGAAGCCGATCTCAAGGAACATTCTCCAGTTATCGCCCACAATTATAAGGTTATTATTACCTAATTAATTAACAGATTTGCACAAGATACATCAGCCACTCAAGGCCGAAGTTGCTCAGGACGTAAGTTATTTCATGAAATGTAAAGTAAAAGGACACAAGTGCAACTAATGTGACATTTTATTGTGGCAACGTTTCGCTCTCCAGAAGCTTTGTCAAGCCGTTTTCTGGTTCAGTCTCTTGCTGCCCTTTACCCTTTCACCATCCACTGCCCCGCTGTTATCCGTAACCTGTTGCTCATCCATCTCCCTTTTGCCACCTGATGCCCTCGCTTCCTTCCTGCCCTGCAGCGCTGTATAGTCCTTGTGGCTTAGCGCTTCTTTTTGATTATAATAATAATAATTTGTCAAGCCGTTACAAAATATTCCATTCTTAATATTAAAATTGGCTAAGCGGCACCTAGGCACTGTGATAACAACAATGTTGGCACCTAGGCACTACGATAACAACAATGTTGGAACCTAGGCACTGAGATAACCATAGTGTTGGCACCTAGGCACTACATTAACCACATTGTTGGCACCTAGGAACTACGATAACCACAATGCTGTTACCTAGGTACTACAATAACCACAATGTTGGCACCTAAGAAATTACAATAACGTCCACAATATGTATCTAACTAGGTAACATCAGGACACGTTTAATTTTCCATTAAGACTTACACCGCGTCTATGGCACAGAAATAGAGCATATTCTTTTTTCTTTTAAGGTCCATATTTCCTCCTAAACGGCAGACTTGCCTCGTAATGCTCAAAATATCTCTTATTTTTACATCTATATCCCACTGGCTAGAGGAACCTGATGAATTAAGGACCGGCTGTGCCAGACCTGGCTGTAACACATTAATTTCCTATCTGGTTTGATGTGTAATTGCTCGTAAAGTAGTGTGCAGGAGGATCACTCTCCTGGCACTTACCTGCTGGTGGTGTTGTGCTCGAGAACGAGCAACTGTTTCCTGACCCGCGTCAGGAAACACTTGCCTAACCTGACGTAGTAGGTGTTTGTCAGTTGACCCCGAATTGTTTAAGCAGGAGACACTGTGTTGTTGCTTCCTAACGAATGTACCATCACCACCATCACTACCTCTACCACCACTATCACTATCATCATTACCACCACTGCCACTATCACTACCATCACTACATATGCAATATAATACGATCATTTTTTTTATTACGTTTCGCCCACACAGCGGGCTGATTTAAGTCACAAACAGATATATATATATATATATATATATATATATATATATATATATATATATATATATATATATATATATATATATATATATATATATATATATATATATATATATTATATATATACACCGCAGAATCCTGGTATCGTCGCTTATCTGTATATCTAACAATTTCAACCAGAATAACTACTTCTATAATATAGCTGAGCCTCTTGCCAAGAAACATAAGAACATAAGAATGGAAGAACACTGCAGAAGGCCTACTGGCCAATACAAGGTAGGTCCTTATCAAAACCAAAGCTACCCAAGAATTTACTCCCTTCTAACTTCTTCGTCATCCTACATACCATACACACCTGCTTGTGAAGTTAAGACACATGTGCAACATCTGGGTATCTTTATTGTAGATGTTTCGCCATCCAGTGGCTTTATCAATACAAATTCCAGGACATAACTTGAAGACAGTAGGACTATGTACAGAAGATGAGGTAATCAGTCCCTCAACCTTATACCTTATATACCATTCTTGCACACACCTGCCTGTCCTTGCAGGTCCCTCTCAGGTCAAGCCGACCCAACATTCTCCACCTGACTCTCCACACTATATATGCTCATGTACTCTGGACTCAGAAAGATCTGTTTGTGACTTGATAAAGTCCACTGTGTGGGCGAAACTTTGTCAATATAGGATCGCTTTCTACTGCATATGTGTTTATTTTTCCACTACCACCACCACCACCACCACCGTCACACCACCACCACCACCACCCCACCACTCCCCACCACCACACCACCACCACCACCACGTCACCACCACCACCACCACCCCACACCACCCACCACCACCACCACCACCACACCACCACCACACCACCACCACCACCCCCACCACCACCACCACCACCACCACCACCACCACTATCAGCAGTCCTACTGATAGCTAGGTTTTCGCCGCCATTTAAAAATAAATGTCACTAACCAAAGATGTCATTGACCAAAGATGTCACTGACCAAAGATTTTACAGACCAAAGATGTCACTGACCAAATTTGTCACTGACCAAAGATGTCACTGACCAAAGATTTTACAGACCAAAGATGCCACTGACCAAATTTGTCACTGACCAAAGATGTCACTGACCAAAGATGTTACAGACCAAAGATGTCACTGACCAAAGATGTCACTGACCAAAGATGTCACTGACCAAAGATGTCACTGACCAAAGATGCCACTGACCAAAGATGTTACAGACCAAAGTTGTCACTGACCAAAGATGTCACTGACCAAAGATGTCACTGACCAAAGATGTCACTGACCAAAGATGTCACTGACCAAAGATGTCACTGACCAAAGATGTCACTGGCCAAAGATGTAGACAAAGACACTTGTGTACAGTCGAGTGCATTATTGAAGCAACTTTCCGCCACGAGTTGCTTCAGTAAGTGTCGTGAAGCGAGCCTACAAGTGTTTGTTTACACACAGCTTGTATCACCACACTTGTTCTCCCTCACAAAACCTATTTATCACATTTTACTGCTGAGCAAGTTAACTGTTACACACTCCAAACACAAATAACCCGCACATAGATTGAAACTTATGACGGTCCGACTTGGGTCATTAACTAGTTAAGCAGTTAATGGTCCAAGTCTGACCGAAACGTCTTCATAAGATTCCTTATGATGACGTATGTGTATTGTTGTACTAGAGTTAATAGAGTTATCAACTCTAGCACAACTTGAGTAATACTGATAATGGATTGGGAGAATATTTTTAAGAGGGTTTGGCTTAGACAAGAACCTGCCAAATGTTCCTCCTCTCTAACGTTCTTATTATTATTCTTTCACGCCCCTTCCCTGTGTCCAGCAGACCCGGTGAGAGCCTGGACAACAAGGGAGGAGGAGAAGAAGACAATGCTCGCAACTCTGAGCTGACACGCACTCACCTCTACTCCCCGACACCCACCAAGAAACCTCATGGTTCTCTGGCTTCCATCAAGACCCAGGACGACCCCTACGAGATCTGTCCATACGCTACCTTCAGGTATGACCCTCTTGAGTGGGGTAATGAGGTTTACAGCCTATCCACTATACGAAGGTTGTTAAAATATGATTTATATAGAGTTTGTTTATTACTGTTATTGTTGATTTTATCCATATATATATATATATATATATTGATCGGACGAAGCTTTAACAAATTATCACAAAGAAACCAGTACTGCAATGTTCATATACAATCTTCGTTGTTTCACTTAGCGTGGGTAGTTCTGAGGACACACTAGAGTATGGTCTATCTCTCCACGCCATGACTCCCAGAGACTGTCTCGATCATCCGGCCCACAGTGAGAGACACCCACAACAGTCTCCCTCTTACGGCCAGGTCGGCCGTCAGCGAGCACACTCACACTACAAAGAGACAGGTGAGCTTTGTACCTCAGGGAGACATGTGAGTTACTCTCTACACGTGGCGAGTGAACTCACTCACACTACTAGGTATCCCATAAGTCCAGCTTCCTCACCCTTCCTCACCCTCAGTGATTCGAGAATTAAGTCCCTGTATCGCATAAGCCTAGCCCCTTCTATCTCTAATGGTTCGAGAAATGTATACCTATATCACACAAACCCAGCCCCATCTACCTCAATACACGCAAAAGAAATAATGCTTAATGCGGCATAAGTTGCCAATGCTGTAAAATATCAACATTACAGATGTGAAGCCAATCACATGGACACTGATATCCTAGTTTCCTTAAAAAAAAAAAATAGCAAATTGGCGTCTAAACAATCCTAAACTAGTTCGAACCCTCCACTAAAATACATTAGTTTGAATCTTCCACTGGGATAAACCGGTTTGGGAAAATTTCAAGTCAATTTGAAGAGACATTGTTTGGTTATCACAGAGACCAACCTTCTAAAACGGAGCAGCACTATAGTTATTGACGTTAAAGATATGAACTTGATCGGACGAAGCTTTAACAAATTATCACAAAGAAACCAGTACTGCAATGTTCCAGTTTGTTGAGTAAAGTTCTCCAGCTGGAACCTACACAGTCCACCTTTTCTTTAAGATGCGCCAGCAGTTTCAAGCCTATCGTCTACACATGAACATTTAGGTTGCACGTAACCTTGTCACAGGTCACGAATACTTTAAACCTTTCAATAGAGATTATGGTAAATGCTCAACAAATATATGCTGATTGGACACTTAGTTGTGTATATATCCTATGTGGAAAAAAATGAATAATTTATGTGCTATTTACGCAAACTTAAGGAAAACCGTATTTACTGTCCTTTTTTTTGGGTTATCTTCGGTAATTTACACTTGTATGATGACTGTTGTTATGTGTATCTGTGCCAAAATAAACTTACTAAAGAGACACAACATACATAATTAACTCCTGCACATTGTGTCTTGAAACAAACGTAATAATAATATTTTTTATTGTAACCTACAGAGATTGCTTACATAAGTAACCGCAACCGTGGGGAGTACAGCAGCCGACCTAAGTCACTGCCAGGAGGACAGCCCGTGCCTGCTGCTGCTGTTGTTGCTCCTACTGCTGCTGCTCCTGTTGCTGCTGAGGCTGCAGAACACAGGGTGTGGACGGAGGACTCCAGGAAGGACACTGGTAGTCGCCCTCACCGCTCCAGAAGTCGCACAAGAGGTATACCTGAAAGTAAAGATATGTAGCAGGTATAACCATGCGAGATGTGTAGCATGATGGTGAATAAGACACGTGCAACAACTGGGTGTCTTTATTGTGAAACATTTTCTTACACATTAGACTTCTTCAGTCAAATGCAAAGAAAGCAGCAGTATTAATAAAATAAAGAAATGTAATCAGTCCCCTCGACCTCGAGGAAAAAGTTTTTAAGGTGGTCAGTCCCTCAGAAACTTTATATATTTGACAGAAGAAGTCTACTGTGTAGACGAAACGTTTCATCAATTACCCAACTGTTGCACATGTGTCTCAGTCTTCAACTTGTCAATATTTTATACCATTTGCAACAGTGTGTTGGTGGTCGACTCTTATAAAAATGCTCTATTGTCCGATTTTTTAAACGTGATTGAAAAAAGTGCGTTGAAAACTGATGAGGACTTTCAACGCCTTTCCACGTGTTATTTATATTTAATCTTAAATGTCTTTTTTTGTAATTATATTTGTAAATAATTGCACTGTAGAGAGGGGCTTCTTTGAGAGAATGGATGTAATAATAACCACATGACTTCTGTGGGTGCTGGTGGCTCAGCGTGGGTTCTGGTGGCTCGGTTAATAAAGTCCTCACACACCGAGAGACTGGGGTTCAGTTCCGGGCACGGGTGAAACATTGAGCACGTTTCCTTATACCTGCTGCCCATGTTCACCAAATAATGAGTATAAACACCTGGGTGTTTGTCGACTACAACAGTCGACTAACACATAGATTAAGGAAACTCAATGGAAATAAGAGACAATCCTGGATGACACACTCGCTTATCCAGGGTCTCCAACTCTCCGGGTTAACAGTCCCAACAATTGTTATCTTGATTTACGAAATTGTAATAACACTATTACAAACAACTCACGGAACGGGTTGGGCTTGAACCCATGGCGAGGGAGTCCTAATATTAGTTTGTTATCTTCTGTGATGGACATTGTGAGGTTGTCATAGCCTGACATAGATTGTCATCAGCGTTTTCTTTGACTTCTGCCCAGATTTTTGGACAGACTGTTTTATTTGGCCGTTTCTTCATCTACCATCCAGTTAATTGGTCACTGGTAAGAACTTCAATCATCCCTTCGCTTGTTTCTGCTTTGCATATAGTGGGAGAGTTTCACCCAAAAGTGTTTTCAATTTAAAAGTGCCGAGATCGTGTTTGACGATTGATTTTATCTGTAGTAAGATTTGTTGGGATTTTTAACCGGGAGGGTTAACCACCCAGGATAACCCAAGGAAGTCAGTACATCATCGATGACTGATGTCAACAAGAGTACAGTAGAATAGATGATACTTAATAATATTTTGGGGACGTGACGGTATATGCTGGTTTTGTTGTTCGTTTTGCATTCTGTGACTGTCTCCATTTTTGGTTTATAGGTCGTATATGAGTCCACAATCAATTATACACCTAGAGATGCATTTCTCTAAGAGTATATACGCTGATGTTTTCTAATCTGTCAGCGTGTATACCCTGAGAGTTTGCTTTAATCTCTGTTTCAGGAATGAAAGTATTCTTGCCTGGTGGTGTCAAGGTTACGTGCGGCCTCACTGACCATCCAGCTTAAACAAAAACTTACAGCACCGAGGCTGGAACAGATGTTAAGTCACAACTTAGTCGTAATTTGACAATGGTCTAAGAGGGACCGAAACGTCGTCACAAGGTTGCTCTTCTAAGAGCGGGTATTTGGTAAACTGACTCTAGTGTAGTCGATAGTCTTTAAACCCCATGAAGCATATTTATTATATTCCCATAATGTGTCAGCAAGTATACTTTCTATTTATTTTATTAATATATTAACGTTCATGATATTAAGTGTTTAACTTAACGTACGAGGGACTGAAAGTGATGTGATAAGTGTTGTATATCTCACTGGCTAGTCTGGTATACCTGAAGGAATATATCTACCTACCTGGAGGGAGTTACGGGGGTCAGCGCCCCCGCAACCCGGTCAACCAGGTTGTGGTGATTGACTGACGATTTCATCCTTAAAATGATGTGATATTTTCTCCGAGGAATATTTAAACTGTCTCTCCTAAGCGTCTTTACTCGTCTGATGCGTTTTACAAGAAGCACAGACTGTGTATATATTAAAAAAACTGGAGAATGAGTCTTCTGCTAAGCTTCAAGCTTTCGGTACTGGTGTTTCATGATCAACGCAGACGGAGGTATGAAGACTGAGTTGGACCTGATCAGTTTGGGCCAGTACTCACCTTATTGTGCTTACCTAATTGTGGTTGCAGGGGTCGATTCATAGCTCCTGGCCCCGCTTTTTCACTGGTCGCCACTAGGTCCACTCTCTGCTTCAAGAGTTTTAACTTTTCTCTTCTTAACGCTATGTTTGGATCCCACCTCAGCTACATCACTGTAGATTGTTCCACTTCCTGACAACTCTATGACCGCTGCTGTGCTCCTTCCTTCTTGAGCGGGTGTGAATTAGACATAAGAACGTAAGAAGGGAGGAACACTGCAGCAGGCATACTGGCCTATACTTTGCAGGTCCTTGTCAAATCCAAACCCACTAGACATGGGCCATTAAGCCTCCTGCAGTGCTCCTTCTTTCTTGTGTTCTTAGAGCCCGAATCATTATGATGGCCAATTTAATGTGAATTTCCACCCAGGAACAGATGCTACGAGGCGCGACTCAAGCACGGAGAGTAACGATGCTTCGTCTCCCGTACAACAACAACAGCGACAACACTACCAGCATCCACAAATGCCACCCAAGCCACACCATCAGCTCCATTCACAGCAGTTGCCCTTGCAACAGCAGCAGCAACAGCAGCAGCAAGTAGCAGCAGCAGGAGTGCGAGTAGGGCCACACCCGCTGCCACCTGTCCGCCATGCCAGGTAGTCTCAGGTAGTAGTGACTGAGCTATGTAGGTGGACCGTAGCTGACGCAGCTCGCACCACACCCTTCAACCCTCCATCCTTCCATCTCCAGTCCTTATCCCTCCTATATCTACCCATCCTTCCATCCCCATCCCTCTCTCCAACATCTCCATCCCTCCTCCCTCCAACATCTCCATCCTTCCCTCCAACACCTCCATCCCTCCAGCATCTTCATTCATCCATCTTCATCATCATCTTCATCCCTCCTCCTCCCTGCTACACTCCAAGCTCTTCATTCCTCCTCCCTGCTACACTCCAAGCTCTTCATTCCTCCTCCCTGCTACACTCCAGGCTCTTCATTCCTCCTCCCTGCTACACTCCAGGCTCTTCATTCCTCCTCCCTGCTACACTCCAGGCTCTTCATTCCTCCTCCCTGCTACACTCCAGGCTCTTCATTCCTCCTCCCTGCTACACTCCAGGCTCTTCATAACTCCTCCCTGCTACACTCCAGGCTCTTCATTCCTCCTCCCTGCTACACTCCAGGCTCTTCATTCCTCCTCCCTGCTACACTCGAGGCTCTTCATTCCTCCTCCCCGCTACACTCCAGGCTCTTCATTCCTCCTCCCTGCTACACTCCAGGCTCTTCATTCCTCCTCCCTGCTACACTCGAGGCTCTTCATTCCTCCTCCCCGCTACACTCCAGGCTCTCCATTCCTCCTCCCTGCTACACCCTAGGCTCTTCATTCCTCCTCCCTGCTACACCCTAGGCTCTTCATTCCTCCTCCCTGCTACACCCTAGGCTCTTCATTCCTCCTCCCTGCTACACCCAGGCTCTTCATTCCTCCTCCCTGCTACACCCCAGGCTCTTCATTCCTCCTCCCTGCTACACCCCAGGCTCTTCATTCCTCCTCCCTGCTACACCCCAGGCTCTTCATTCCTCCTCCCTGCTACACCCAGGCTCTTCATTCCTCCTCCCTGCTACACCCCAGGCTCTTCATTCCTCCTCCCTGCTACACTCCAGGCTCTTCATTCCTCCTCCCTGCTACACTCCAGGCTCTTCATTTCCTCCTCCCTGCTACACTCGAGGCTCTTCATTCCTCCTCCCGCTACACTCCAGGCTCTCCCTTCCTCCTCCCTGCTACACCCTAGGCTCTTCATTCCTCCTCCCTGCTACACCCTAGGCTCTTCATTCCTCCTCCCTGCTACACCCTAGGCTCTTCATTCCTCCTCCCTGCTACACCCTAGGCTCTTCATTCCTCCTCCCTGCTACACCCTAGGCTCTTCATTCCTCCTCCCTGCTACACTCCAGGCTCTTCATTCCTCCTCCCTGCTACACCCTAGGCTCTTCATTCCTCCTCCCTGCTACACCCCAGGCTCTTCATTCCTCCTCCCTGCTACACCCTAGGCTCTTCATTCCTCCTCCCTGCTACACCCTAGGCTCTTCATTCCTCCTCCCTGCTACACCCCAGGCTCTCCATTCCTCCTCCCTGCTACACCCCAGGCTCTTCATTCCTCCTCCCTGCTACACCCCAGGCTCTTCATTCCTCCTCCCTGCTACACCCCAGGCTCTTCATTCCTCCTCCCTGCTACACCCCAGGCTCTTCATTCCTCCTCCCTGCTACACCCTAGGCTCTTCATTCCTCCTCCCTGCTACACCCCAGGCTCTTCATTCCTCCTCCCTGCTACACCCCAGGCTCTTCATTCCTCCTCCCTGCTACACCCCAGGCTCTTCATTCCTCCTCCCTGCTACACCCTAGGCTCTTCATTCCTCCTCCCTGCTACACCCCAGGCTCTTCATTCCTAGATTGTTATACATTGCATGCTGGAGGCTGAATATAAAAAATATTATGTTATTAATTGTATATAATACCGTCCAGATGATGAATATGACACATACCTGGATGTGCAACACTTGGATATCCTTATCGCACGAACGTTTCGCCCACACGACAGACCTCTTCAGCCGAACATCTGGAGGGACTGACTACCTCCTACCAAGGTTGAGGGACTGATCACGTCAAATGCCACATCTGTCTCCAGTGCTATATTCGCCTGTATTAGACTGATGAAGTCTGTCTGTGTGGCTGAAGCGCTGCAACAATAAAAATACCCAAATACTGGTGGAAAGTATTGTTACATGATGAACGATCCACTACTCAGACTCAAGTTATATCTTTTAAAAGTTTAAAATATACTCTAAAATGAGGCTAGAGCGAAAAGGCCTAATTTCAGAATTTCAGATTTCACCATTAAAACATTGGTTCAGTAACTGGTAAGATGATAGGTTAGGTTAGGTAAGATTCGTCAGGAAGCAGGACAAGTGTTTCCCGACGCGGGTCTTAGGTATACCTGGAGTATACCTGGAGTATACCTGGAGAGGGGTTTCTGGGGTCAACGTCCCCGCGGCCCTGTCTGAGACCAGGTGTCGTGGTGGATAAGGGTCTGATCAACCAGATTGTTCCTGCTGGCCGCATCCTGGGACACTGACCTAATTTTGCACGAAATGCTCAGCATAGCAAAGGGCTTTCTATATAGTATGTCACTGATGTCAGCTATGGTCTTTATACTATGTACATATACTTGTAGTAAATAAAGATATTATTATTATTATTATTATTATTATTATTATTATTATTATTATTATTATTATTATTTACGGAGGCAATAGAACATAAGGTAATCAATTCCTCAACCTGGAAGACAGTGTTCAGTACCTCAGACTTGATGAACAGTACTGAACACAGACTTCCGGACTGAGGGACTAATTACCTCTTCTTCTTGTGTTATCTGTGAATAGTTCTGCAAGATTGATTATATCTCTTATCTGCCACTGTCTTCGTAGATTATCTCTGCCAAGAACTGGTGGTCATTGGTTGGCGAAATCTGTTCCAATGAAGACACCTCAGAGTTACGAAGGTGCCTGATTCCTTCAGATTTCAGGTTACTTTCTCAGATTTCATTGTTACTTTCTAGATTTTTTGTTGCTTCCTCAGATTCCATTGTTATTTTCTCAGATTTCATTGATACTTTATCAGATTTCACATGACTATCAAATTTCACGTTACTTTCTCAGATTTCATTAATACTTTCTCAGATTTCATTAATACTTTCTCAGGTTTCATGCCACTTTCTCAGGTTTCAGGTTACTTTCTCAGATTTCGGGCTACTTTCTCAGATTTCATGCCACTTTCTCAGGTTTCATGTCACTTTCTCAGGTTTCATGTCACTTTCTCAGTTACTTTCTCAGGTTTCATGTCACTTTCTCAGGTTTCACGTTACTTTCTCAGATTTTATGTTACTATCTCAGATTTCATTGTTACTTTCTCAGATTTCATGTCACTTCCTCAGGTTTCAGGTTACTTTCTCAGGTCTCAGGTCACTTTCTCAGTGCATGATCCTCACCAACATACTTCCCACTGAAGCATCACTGATCCTCTTGGATCATCAGTCTATATATTAAAACATAACAGTAGAATGATGCTCCATCGATTATGCTCTGAATGCCCTTCAAGGTCGGGCGAGTGTGCTTTGATGCTGGCGAATGGCTCTTGATCCAAGGAGTCTGAGCTTCCTTGGATCAAATCTGATTATCCCAGTCACAAGTAATAATGAAAATAATAAACTATAATATATAATAATAATAAATAATAATAATAATAATAATAATAAATAATAATAATAATAATAATAATAATAGTAATAATAATAATTATAATAAATAATAATAATAATAATAATAATAATAATAATAATAATAATAATAATAATAATAATAATAATAATAATAATAATAATAATAATAATAATAAAAGATAATGTTTCCTTGACATACTGGCCGTCTCCCCCCAAAAAAAGAGGAAACGCATTAATCATGATTCATTCAATACCTATCGTGCCAGAGGTGGGTTGAGGTCACAGTTGAGGTGCCCCTCAAAACAGCAACTTGCCCATCCCTTCCTTCAGACGATGTACTTCCCTCCTCCAGGACTCAAGTCTGGCTACCAGCTTCTCTCTGAACCCCCACGTAAATGTTATTCATTTCACTATAACGTTGGTAATGATGTTATGGTTAATTAATACGTTAAAATATTTTATCAAATATAAGATTTGTTATTATTATTATTATCATCATTATTATTATTTTTATTATAATTAATAATAATAATAATAATAATAATAATAATAATAATAATAATAATATTATTATTATTATTATTATTATTATTATTATTATTAAGGTGAAATAGTGAACAAGCCTTTCGTATACAACTCTTGGGTATTATGCAGATTTAGTATTACCCTTTGTATGCATACTTCTCACTGTATCTATGTGCTATTTGTTACAGTAAATGTTAAACCAGGAAATACGTGAAATTCCTGAAAAAAAATCAGTAAAAAACTCAGAATGACTGAGGGAGAGTCACTGGGTCCAGGAGACTGATGTAACATGGTGTTAGGAATTTCCTTGTTTGTCCTCTTTTCCTGTTTGATGAATTCTTGGTATGGAGATTAACCTCTTAGCGATTACTAGCACTTAACTGAGGTTTTAAGATTACACGTAAATCCTGATATCCCAGGGTTACTGTGACACACACACACACACACACACACACACACACACACACACACACACACACACACACACACACACACACACACACACACAGGATCCTGTAAATAACAAAAAGGCATAATACCGTGACTGGAACGATACACAAATAACCCGCACATAAAAGAGAGAAGCTTACGACGACGTTTCGGTCCAACTTCGACCACTGACTTTGTCAACAGGTCGGACCGAAACGTCGTCGTAAGCTTCTCTCTTTTATGTGCGGGTTATTTGTGTACAGGATCCTGTACACCGTGTACGTTAGGCCTGTATTAGAGTATGCCAGTCATTTAAGGAAAGTAGAGAAAGTACAAAGGTTTGCATGTCCTAAGAGAAGTTAAGGGAAATCGCCCTGACGACACTGCAGGAGAGGAGAGTTAAGGGAGATATGATAACGACATATAAAATACTGAGAGGAAGTGACAAGGTAAACAGGATGTTCCAGAGATGAGATACAACAACAAGGGGTCACAATTAGAAGTTGAAGACTCAGATGAATCACAGGGATGTTAGGAAGTATTTCTTCAGTCATAGAGTTGTCAGGAAGTGGAATAGCCAGGAACCATACATAGCTTTAAGAGGAGGTATGACAAAGCTCAGGAAGCAGAGAGAGAGTGGACCTAGTAGCGATCAGTGAAGAGGCGGAGCTAGGAGCTGAGTCTCGACCCCTGCAACCACAATTAGGTGAACACACACACACACACACACACACACACACACACACACACACACACACACACACCAAAACACAATCATTTTATAAGTTTTTATAAAGGATTTGACTGGATTTCAAGTGCTGAAACACTATTCATTTTTTTTCGGGTCAGATCTGATGGCCTGCCATTCCCCAGGCTCTGCATGACCCCTACAGATTTAGTGTTCCCCAGGAACTTTGATTTAGGTGATAACTTGTCCCACTTTTTGTCACTGTGTGACAAAAGCCACTCTTTAAAACCCACCTTGAGTACATAGGCCACTTAGTCCTCCTTAGCGCAAATGTTAGAATCAGTGTTTAATTCTTATAATTCTCAAACATGGATGTGTGACTGGCGGCGCGTCATGACCCGAGCAACTGGGATCATTCTTCCCGTCTTTGTACTCAGTCTTGTTCCAGGTGAGGTGCTGTTCTCACTAGTCAGGGAAAGACACACGTTCCAGATCAAGCATTTACTGGAACAACGTTTTGACCTGTTTAAAGCTTTATCAAGTCTTGTTTAGCTCTGCATAGAGATTTATCGAGTAATGTTTATCTAGGCATAGAGATTTATCATGTTTGACTCTATGTAGGGATTTATCATGTCATGTTTGGCTCTATGTAGGGATTTATCATGTCATGTTTGGCTCTATGTAGGGATTTATCATGTCATGTTTGGCTCTATATAGGGATTTATGAAGACATAACGAAACTCGAGACGCAGTTGAACATTGTCACATAAGAGCCGTTGTTTCTTTAACATACATCATTATTCTGGGATCAAATCTAACAACCTCCCATTCCCAGGCGGTGTATTATTCATGCTCTTTGGCGTTTAGCACTTTCCCATGAAGGCTATGATGATATTAATCATTATTAATCGATTATTATTATCATAATCAAAAAGAAACGGTAAATCTAATAGGATCATACAGCTCTCATAATACACGTCAATTTTTACAGAGTGGAAAGTACTTCATCTTCGTCCTCCTCCTCGAGTGAAACTTCACCTCTGACTCCTCCTCGACCCCTTCATCCACCCTCCGCCTTCTCAGACTCCAGGGAGCTCTCCGAGGCGGAGTGTGACAGAGAGCTCTCACTGGCTCAGGCTGGAAGGGTAGCAGGTGACGGTGCGACAGCGGGTAGGAGCGGCGCTCCAGGGGACGTTGAGAACTTAACCACTGAGCTCACGGTATTACTGCAGCGGTACAAGCAGGAACACCAGATGGGACACGGTGTTCAGCAGGAACACCAGATGGGGCACGGTGTTCACCAAGAACAAAAACTCCACCGAGGATCTCAGAAAAATCCTTATAGCATTAATGTTTAACTTTAGCCTTACACCCCCCAACACCCTCAAAAAACCTCCACTCTATAGGAAAGTGTATATATATTTTTATAATTCAAATGTGCATTCTTAACATTCACCTAAATGATAAATAAGGTTAGTTATCATTTTTTTTGATACAGTTTAAGTTGTTTATTGGGTATCTATTGCTCACATGTGAATATATATATAATTGTAATTAACTGCAGACAATAATGGTGAATATGATATATAGAGAAAAATCACAAAACAAGTGGGATTCGAACCCGCGGCAAGCGGGTCTTAAAACTCGCACCTCAGTGTGCTAATTGTGGATCAAGTTACGTCTATTTAGTACCAAACGTTTCGCAAAAGTCCAAAGCTTCACCTGAGCAAAACTGTCTCACGAAGAAAGTAATTTCTTGAACCTTGAGAACTGTCGAAGGAAACACCTGCAACATGTGCAACACCTGCAACACCTGAAACATCTGCAACAACTGAAACATGTGCAACTGAAGATGAAGCAGGACTAAGAAAAGACAGGAAATATTTGTGAAGGTATTATAAGAAGGGATGATAAAGAGTAGTCACGGCTCAGGTCTGCCAGACTGTAGACAGTAGTCATGATTAAGACAGGGAAGTACGGGATTGTCTCAATATTATAACGCATGAGCAAAATACACTAACCACAAACACACATGCACTATATATATATTATATATATATATATATATATATATATATATATATATTATATATATATATATATATGTCGTGCCGAATAGGCAGAACTTGTCATCTTGGCTTAAATAGCAACGCTCATCTTGCCATATAGGACAAGTGAAAATTTGTGTATGCAATAATTTCGCCAAAATCATTCTGAACCTAACGAAAAAAATATATTTCACTGTGTTTGTTTAGTATTAAATTATTGTAAACAAATCTAAAATATATTTAGTTGGGTTAGGCTAAAATAAATTGTTCTTGTAATAATAAGGTTAGGTAAGTTTTCCAAGATTCTTTTGGAGCAAAATTAAAAATTTTTACATTAACATTAATGAAAAAATATATCTTTAAACGTATAAGAGAAAATTTTAGAAAGGACTTAATTTTAAATGAGTTCTTGCTAATTGACCAGTTTTACATATTCGGCACGACATCTAATATATATATATATATATATATATATATATATATATATATATATATATATATATATATATATATATATATATATATATATATATATATATATATATATATATATATGCAATAAGATCACAGTAAACAGGTGATTTCAGAATATGCAAAACAACCACTCTGAAAGAATAGAGAAATTTCAAGCGCTTTCGTGACAACTCACATTATCAAGGAACTATGAAAGTAAAGCACCAAGGAAGGTAATATAATGGGTCTGGCCAAACACCTCACATCAGATCCAACAACAGTTAAACACCTGATTGAGCGCCGGCCCAACTGGACGGTCCTTTGCACAACCCACCAACAAACTATTCTACCCAAGAAATTTTAAAAATTATTATTTGTCCCATGTGCTATTATTAAATCTCCCAAATTCTATTAATTATAAATGGATCTAATTTATATAAACCAAAGGAAATATTGCCATATTATTGTCAAAACTGCTTTTTATGAAACAAGATTCAAATAATATTCCTGTCGACCATGGACTTCCTTGATACTACTTTCACAACTTTTGAAATCAATTGGAATGGGTTTTGTTAAAATCTCTTACATGAATAAAAGAGCATTGGAAATCTTGTCCAGTTCTAATGCTAAATTTATGTTGTTGTAATCTTAGTTCGAGATTTTACCATTTTGGACCGTAATAAACTTATCGCAAATTTTACAAGGAATCTTATAGCCAAACCATCAGCATTTTGGGGGAATTCTTATCAAATTTTTTATTGTAAATCAGAATTTTTTAAATACAACTGTTATTAAAAGTCTTAAGAGAGTAAGGTATAAACCAAGTTTTCTCTATTCTTTCCAGTGGTTGTTTTGGCATATTCTGAAATCACCTGTATAAATATATATAAATATATATATATTTATATATATATATATATATATATATAATAATATAGATAAATGTATATATATTATAAAATATATATATATTTAGACGAATCATATATATACTATATATATATATATATATTATAATAAATATATATATAATATATATATAATAATGTAAATATTTGTGCGGTTTGGTTACTACTTTAATTTGTGTGAACTTAATAAAATTTTGAGAATTCTTCATGTAGCCATGATTTATTGACCAAGTTGTGTTACTACAGTGACACTTTACAACAGTGTTTACACTGTACACCAGTGTAACACTGTACAACAGTTATCCACGGTACAACAGTGTAACACGTACAACAGTTTAACACTGTACAACAGTTTACACTGTAACAACATTGTACACTGTACAACAGTGTAACACTGTACAACAGTGTAACACTGTACAACAGTGTAACACTGTACAACAGTGTAACACTGTACAACAGTGTAACACTGTACAACAGTGTAACACTAAACAGCAGTGTAACACTGTACAACAGTGTAACACTGTACACATTGTAACAACAGTACAACAGTGAACACTGTACAACAGTGTAACACTAAACAGCAGTGTAAACACTGTACAACAGTGTAACACGGTACAAAAAAACCAGTGTAACACTGTACAACAGTGTAACACTGATACAACAGTGTTACTCTGTACAACAGAGTAACACCTGTACAACTTGTAACACTTAACAACAAGTGTTACACCTGTACAACAGTGTAACACTGTACAACAGTGTAACACTGTACAACAGTGTAACACTGTACAACAGTGTAACACTGTACAACAGTGTAACACTGTACAACAGTGTAACACTGTACAACATGGTAACACTGGTACAAACAGTGTAACACTGAACAACAGTGTAAACACTGTACAAAACAGAGTAAACACTGTATCAATCAGTGTAACACAGTACAACAGTGTAACACTAAACAGCAGTGTAACACTGTACAACAGTGTAGCACTGTACAACAGTGTAGCACTGTACAAACAGTTGCACTGTTAGCAACATGTGTAACACTGTACAGACATGGTAAGCAATGTACAACCAGTGGTATCACTGTAACAACAGTGTAACACTGTACAACAGTGTAGCACTGTACAACAGTGTACACGTACACAGTGTAACACTGGTGCAACAGTGTAACACTGTAGCAACATGTAACACTCTACAAACAGTCTATCACTGGAGCAACAGTAACACTGGTACAATAGTGTAACACTGTACAATCAGTGGTAACACTGACAACATGACACTGTGCAACAGTGTAACACTGTGCAACTAGTGTAACACTGTACAACAGTGTAACACTGTACTGACAGTGTAACACCTGTATAAAAAAAAAAACAATAGTGTAACACTGTACAAACAGTGTAACACTGTACAACAGTGTAACACTGCAACAATAAGTGTAAACTCTTTATACAACAGTGCAGACACTGTTACAACAGTGTAACACTGTGAAAACGAGTGCAACACTGTGCAACAGTGTAACACTGTACAACAGTGTAACACTGTACTACAGTGTAACACTGTGCAACAGTGTAACACTGTACTACAGTGTAACACTCTACAACAGTGTAACACTGTAAAACAGTGTAATACTGTAACAACAATTAACACTGTACACAACAGTGTAACACAGTACACAGTGTAACACTGTACAACAGTGTAGCACTGTACAACAGTGTAGCACTGTACAACAGTGTAACACTGTACAACAGTGTAGCACTGTACAACAGTGTAGCACTGTACAACAGTGTAACACTGTGCAACAGTGTAACACTGTACAACAGTGTAACACTCTACAACAGTGTATCACTGAGCAACAGTAACACTGTACAATAGTGTAACACTGTACAACAGTGTAACACTGTACAACAGTGTAACACTGTGCAACAGTGTAACACTGTGCAACAGTGTAACACTGTACAACAGTGTAACACTGTACTACAGTGTAACACTGTACAATAGTGTAACACTGTACAACAGTGTAACACTGTACAACAGTGTAACACTGCACAATAGTGTAACACTTTACAACAGTGCAACACTGTACAACAGTGTAACACTGTGAAACAGTGCAACACTGTGCAACAGTGTAACACGTACACAGTGTAACACTGTTAGCTTACAGTGTTAACACTGTGAACAACAGTGTAACACTGTACAACAGTGTAACAACTGTACTACATTAACACGTACAACAGTGTAACACTGTACAACAGTGTAACACTGTTCTACAGTTGTAACACTGTACAACAGTGTACACACTGTACTACAGTTAAAATAAAACACATGGTGCAACAATGATAGGAAGTTTATTTAATGTTAATATTAGCTCAAAGAGTTCACATTAAATTGTTAATTTCATAAATTCCGACAGACAAAATTTTAACATAACAATGTGTGAAATAAAAAAAAAAAAAATAAATTGTAAAAAGAAGTTTTTTCCTTCATCATATTTCTTTAATGAGAGCTCTTGATCCAAAGGAAATGGAGCTTCCTTCTACTCCTGTCGTCCAACCCTGTCTTTTCAATCCCCTATTCATTATTATGGCTTCCATATATATATAAATATATATATATATATATAGTATATATATATATATATATATATATATAATATAATATATATATATATATATATATATATATATACATATTTATATATATATATATAATATATATATTATATAATAAAAATATATTATAATATATTATAGTACAATATATATATATATATATATATTATATATCATATATATATATATATACATATATATATATATCTATATATATATATATTATATATATATATATATATATATATATATATATATATACATATATATACATAAATATCCATATATATATCCATATATATATACATAATTATACATATATATATATAGCATCATATATTTATATACATATATATATATATACATATATATATACATATATGTAATATATATATATAAAATATATTTAGTATATATATATATATATATATATATATATATAAAAAAATAATATATAATAAATAATATAAATGTAAACTATCTGACTTAAGCTCTGAAAATAATAACACACCAGAGTAAAAACAATGCCGACAATAAAACACCTGTCTATTAACGCCGAAGACAATAAAACACCTGACTAACAACACCGAAGATAATAAAACACCTTATTAATAACTCTGGCAACATTAAAACACCAGACTAACAACACTGAAGACAAAACACCTGAAATACTCCACTCGCCACAAACGCTGCCACCGCGACATAGCAGACACCAACCTTCCACAAACCACATCTCGTTAGAAGACATGTTTATATCACCCTGACTAGCACATGCTAACTCTCCATCATATTCTATAACAAAAAATGCTAGAATTATTTTAGAGGCCAAGGTCTCATATATCATCGTTGATGTTCATATTGTCTAACTTAAGTCAATAATCAGTGTGTTGATGGTGGCCTCAACAAATACTGTTGGTTTTCTGGTCTTTGTGGAGATATAATATTTGGTAGAATTAAAGAGGGTTGGCAAGACTAGTGAAGGACTGGGGTAGGATAGAGAAGTGAGAAAG